GGAGTGTGCTACCAGGTCACAGGATGAAAGAAAGGCTAGGATGAACGATAATGGGGGGCAGCTCAGATGCTGAAATGAACTCAAACAGTGGTCCACACAGCCCCAGTCTCTTCCTATGTCCACCTTGCTCAATCCAATCTCACTTATTGCCTCCCATAAGTTCTTGGGTTACCCTCTTTTTTATTCTAGGAACTCTCCATTTAAAAAATATTTCTAAGAATATAACTCAGATCTTAGCCTCTTGTCCTACACATACATTTAACTTTCCTATCCCCAGGAGCCCCTCTTCCACATGGAAATCTCTTCATTTTCTTTTCACCCATGCTTCACATATTCATACTCTGTTGTGCTGCAATATGTATAACTTTAATATGGGCTTCGTAAATAGGGAAATTATTTCAGTATTTTAATGCCAAAAATGTCATTAGGTCATATCTGATTTTTACTAGCAAGTCAATAGGTGTACCCCCAAGAAAGAGTAACTAACTGACCACAAAACTCAATAGCAAGCAACAGGAGAATACAGTACTGTCCTTGAAGTCCATTTTCTCCAGTTCTTCTTCTTGGCTCAGTTTGGCCACATGCAAAACAAGCCCAAGACCCTAAGCCAGATCCATTGTTCAGGGGCATCTCAATAGTTCATGCAAAACTGGTGGATACCTCTTTACCTGAAGCTCTACAGAGGCAGGGGTATGTCTGGGTACTAGAGCATGTGCTTGGCATGCAGGAAGCTCTAGGTTCAGTCCTCAGACAAAAAACAAAACAAACCAAAAATCCTTCAGATGGTGCCCTGTAGCCCAGAGCATCCAGCAGGGAGAATCTTGGTTGTACTCCAGACTTAAATAAGAATTTCTTTTTAAATAAGATTTGTGAGGGGGGGTAGAAGGGAAGGGGCAGGAGGAAGAGGGGAGAAATGACCCAAACATTGTATGCACATATGAATAAAAGAAATAAATAAAATTAATATTTCCCTGAGGAGAAAAAAAAAAAAGACTTGCATGCTGCTTTGGGAGGAATTGGAAGAGGAGATGTGATAGCACTGATAGCACCTGCTGTGTTTGTAGGTTCTAAGTGATATCTCAGAAAGGTAAGCATAAAGGGGAGTTGGGAATAGTACAGGAAGGCTGAAGACAAGTTGGCTTAAACTGCAAATCTATTTTAGTCTATATGCTGATGAGAAGACAGGGAGTATGAACTAGAAGCACTTAGTTTAGTGAGGGAAGTAAACTTGTAAACAAAAGATGTCAGTAGACATATCTGCTTTGCAAACTAGGAGGGACCAGGAAGTTGTCTGGGACACAGGATAAGTCTGGCTCATCTTTCAGGAGAGCTGATTCACCTGGAGGGAGAAAAGTCCAACCAGAGTAATATTCAAACAAATCCCATATATCAAGAAGTAAAATGCTTTCATTTACTTTACACTTGTAGATGAGACCCAACACTTCAAAAGTGTTTTTCACATGAGTTGGGCAGGGCTGGAAGGCTCCTTTCTAAAACTCTGGTTAGGGTGCTCAGCTGACATCACACTGAGGTGTGATAAGTGAACAGAGAAGCCTTAGATAACATCTGCTTGCTTCTGGAAGAGATTGCAGAAGGTACAGCCTTTAAGGGACCTTTGAGGAAGAACAAGAGTTAGTCGTGCGGATAAAAAGGGGCAGAGTGTTCTGGACAAGGAAAAGCAAACAATACTCTCTGGAGATTGTGGAGAGAGGTAACCATACCCATTCCAAATTCTAGCAGGTGGGTAAGTAGGATCAGACGGTACGTAGGAGGCAGGAGAAGGAAGGAGGAAAGGCTGACAGTAAACTGGGTGACTGCTAGAGCATTTTCTTGACAAGATTAAGCTAGATCCACAGCATTTTCTTAACCAGATGAAGGTACTGAATTTGCTGTTGGGTCACTAGGGCAATGTGAGGGGAGTTTTTCAATGTTTGTGATTGGCATATATTGTCACTCATGATTACATAGACCCAAATATGTTGTAGAAAAAATAAAGAAGACTATCTACTTAACAGTAATGTTAATTGAATAACTCTTGTAAATCTCTTAAATTTTGTTTCTTATATTTTAACCTTATTAAACATGCGATGAAATTTAATGCAAATGCAAATGTATATATCATGGACATCAAATCAGTTCTAGCTTTCCCTGAAATTTTCTGAACAGTCATCTTAATGTATCCTTAATTATATCCTTTTCTCACAGAGTAAAACCAACATGATCATGGTTACAAACTCCCAATTATGAAAACACATACACAAACTCTTTCTGATTATTTGGTTACTGGTAATATCTTTATTTTCTTCCTTATTCTGATAAATTAGGGTGGAATATTTAAATTATTATATAAATTGTTTGTAAACACAAATTAGCCAAAAATGACAATTCATGGATTCAGAATTAAAGACCCTAATCTTTTATGATGATATATATTCTTGTATGCAAGAATAAGATAAATGTAGCATCTCTTAAGGACATTTATATGTGTGGATTTTTTTAAGCAAAAAAGTGACCTGATCAGATTTTTGCTTAAAAGCAATCATTCTCCTAGCAGCCTAGTGGGCCAACTGGACCAATTATCTTTTGTCTTAATTGTAATCCTAATTAAAAAGCAAATAACAAAATTGAGGAGGACTTTGTCGTACATATAATACAGTATTACTATCTTTAATTTCCAAAAAGTTCATGCAGATTGTTTTAAAAAAAAACAAACAAACACTAAGACCAGTCTTAAAAACAGTGGACAAAAAAAGAAAACACACACACAAAAAAAAACAAACAAAAGAAAAAAAACCACAAAGAAAATAAAAACAGTAGACAACTGGTCTGAAAAGGTGTAGGTCATTTCTAGAATATATTAAATGGTTAATTAACACATGATAAAAGACCAGCCTCAGTATCACACAAAGACATACTACACTTACAATTTAATTAATTTTTTTTACCAGTTCCCATAAGGAAGATTTAAAACATCAGTCCTCAGCTGACAGGGATTAGCTGATGGCATAATGGTTCTACACTTGAGAAAGAGGCTTTGGCAGTATCCTCATACCCTTTGACCCAGTGGCTCTATTTTTGGAAATTTATCAGTTTCTCAGGAAGTTATCAGAATTGTGAACAAAGACATATATAAAGCTCATTACTTATTATAGGAAAAAATTGAAAAATATCCCATAATCTTAGAAATTATGCAGCCTAACAATGTTTTGAATTATGCAGAAAGCCTTGCAGATTGTTCCTATGATGTACATAAGCATGAAATAAATACTGGAAGGAAATATGCCAACATGAAGTCATCAGTTGGTGGATTAATGGTAATTTCCACTTCATAAAAAGATTTTTCAACTTTTTCTTAACAATTAGAAGTTTAGCCCCAAATAAGGAATTACTGGTATCATGAGTGGCTTTGAGGGAGGCAACCTTGGCAGGGGGACAACTTTGGGCCCTGTAATCTGAATTACACCTCCCGAGCTGGTGGTGCATTTGCTCCTGCCTTTAAGACTTGCTTCCTGTGGAATTATGCCACCCACACAGCTGTTTTGGTGGGTGCCCTGAGGAAGAAGAGTGTGACCGACATGAGCAGGGGTCTGCTGCTGCCTTGACCTCTGCTCTTTCAGTTTTCAACCCATGGAAAAAATAATAGTTGACAATTTACCTGCTTCTGGGCCTTTGTTCTGTGTTATCTGCTTAATCTCATTTACTCCTCCCAATACCTCTCAAAGGAAGCTATTAAAAATAATTTTCTTTTCTCCCCCGCCCCCCACAATGCTGGGAATCACATCCAGAGTCCCAGGAATTATTCTTATTTTTATTTTTTATTTATTTACTTTTTTGGTGGGACTGGGGTTTGACGTTTGCAAAGCAGGCACTCTACCACTTGAACCATACCTCCAGTTCATTTTGTTCTGTTTATTTTGGAGATGGGGATCTCACAAATGATTTGCCATGACTGGCCTCAGACCTCGATCCTCCAGATCTGACTCCCAAGTAGCTAGAAGTACAGGCCGCTCACTGGTGCCAGGCTCAAGGTGAAATTGACCTTTTTTTTTCTTTTGGTCTGACTGGGGTTTGAACTCAGGGCTTCACACTTACACAGCAGGTGCCCTGCAGTTTGAGCCACACCTTCAGTAATATTCTAATTTTTAGAGAAAAAAGGACTGTGACATGGAGTGGTGAATTAACTGGCCAAAGGTCTCATTTTAGCATTTCCTCCACCCCTTTCCTTTTTTTCTCCATTCTCTTTTATTTAGTACAGCTAATCAGGCAGCATATACCCTGAACTCTGAGATGAAAACCATAGTTCTCCATCTCTGTGGAAAACTTTTTTTTTTGTTCAAAGTAAATATACCAGGCCACCTGGGGACAGGCTTTCCTGAGAGCACTTCCTCCTTCCTTATTCTGCTGGCTTTTAACTTTTGCCCCGGGGGCTACAACCAGCTTTTTCACTTGGTAGCCCTGGCTCCTTCTGCCTTTTCCTCCAAAATCTTTGAGGTCAGTAGTTGCTATTACTCTCCGTACCCCTGTGACTGAGCATCAGGAGGGCATAACTCTCTCTTTCCAATTCCTTCCTAGTCCTAGGCCTTCTATTCTTCAGGCTCCTCAGCTCCCCCTTCTTGCTCTTTCTCCTCCCATCCTTTTCTTTCTCCACCATTTTATTTCCTTTGTCTCCATTTCTGCTCTCAAGGCTTTATCTTTCTTATGATTTTTAAAAACAAATAACAAATTATCCTGTTATAAAGAAGACTTTTAAAAAAATGTAGTGATTCCAAGATTTGTTCATTTCTATGCAACTCACACTTTGCAACTCCCTTCTGGAGACTAAGTATATTTGAGGGTTGCAGGGCTCAGTTGGCTGTTTTATGTTTTGTTTTGTACTTTTTAATTTTTTTTTTTCTTGGTACTGGGGTTTGAAACTGAGGGCCTATATCTTGAGCCACTCCACCAACCCTTTTTTGTGAAGGGTTTTTTTTGAGATAGAGTCTCACAAATTATTTGCCGGGGCTGGCTTTAGAACTGCGATCCTCCTGATCTCTGCCTCCTGAGTAACTAGGATTACAGGTGAGAAGCAGCAGCACCCAGCCAGTTTGCTATTTGACCATACTTAGAAGGTGAGTGGAAGAGCCCTGATGGCTGGTAGCATGGACTGAAAATCCGCACTGGAGAGGAGGCACAGAGGGTCTTCAGATGCAAATAACCAGGGCCCTCCAGGTTGGAGAGAATTGCTGGAGGGCTGTGGAGAACAGAGGGTCTACAGAGCCCAGAGTTCTCTCCTGATCATTCATGTCCTAGGCTGAAACTCCTGGCAGTCTCACATCAGTGTCCTCCTGCTGCAGGAAGGTCAGAGATGGCAGTTTCCCCAAATTCCTGCCTCTCCAGGTGTTTGCTCACCTTCATGTTCCTGCAACTGCCCAAGCTGGATGCTGGTATGTCTCCCTTCTCACTCCTTCTCTCTGTCGTGCTGGGCTGAAATGTCCCAGCAAATCTAAATAACTGGTTTGCTTCTAGTCTCTAGTGGCCTCCAAAGGGGTCCAGGAATAGTAGACAATGGAAAGGCCTCTGCCTTTTAACAGGAGCCTGGTCTGTGTTGGTCCTCAATTTCCATTCCCTCATCCAGTTTGATTCCACTTGTTTTGGCAGCTTACTTTGATGTAATAGGACCCCTGGAGCCCATCCTGGCTGTGGCGGGTACAGACACAGAGCTGCCTTGTCACCTCTCCCCAAACATAAGTGCCGAGCATATGGAGCTGCGGTGGTTTAGACAAAAGTTGTCGCCAGCCGTGTTCCTGTACCAGGACCAGCAGGAGCAGGAGGCAGAGCAGATGATGGAGTACCGAGGCAGGGTGACGATGGTGAAGGACAACATCACTACTGGTTATGCTGCTGTGAGGATACACGGAGTCAGGGCCTCGGACGATGGGGAGTACCGATGCTTTTTCAGAGAGAATGGAACCTACGAAGAGGCCATTATGCACTTGCAGGTGGCTGGTGAGTAGGTAGCTTCCCATGGGTCACTTACTGTGAAAACCATCAAATTCATTCCCCACATCCCTTTTAGGTTGAAGAAGTTGGCCAACCTAGAGTAGGAGATTAATGGGGATGAGTTTGAGCTGAGTGTGGAAATCAAAGTGAAATGTCTTTTGCATATAGCTTTACTTTAATTATTTTTGCCCTGTTTTCTCAGTGATAGGATGAATATTTCCCCCAGAAAACTAATTAAATAAATGCAGGATGTAATGGCTGTATAACATTGATATTGAAACACACCATAATTTACTTGGTCAGTTCCCATAATCAGGTATTTAAGTTGTGTCTACTTTTCACCACTTGACAAAGCTGTGGTAAGCATGCCACACACTTTAAGACTGTTTCATGGATTTGTCTCTAGGGAACTGAATTCCTAAGATCATAGAGCACAGCCCTTTGCTAAAACTCTTGATCTACCTAGAAAAGATTTTGCTGTGATTCTTTGGGGGGTTTTTCCTTCAAGAAAAAATTCAGGGTGAAATAACGAGGAAAATGGTTAGCATTCTAGAGGAAACACTACTTACTAGTAACATTCTTTCCCACTTACTAGTAAGGGACACCAAGGAAATATCCTTCTGAGCTGTGTTCCCTCTGTGAAATTGGGGTATCATCTATCCAGTAAGATTTTGCAAGAATTAAATAAAACTAAGCAATACCTAAAAAACTACTTTGCTAATCCTAAAATCATTATATAATTGTAAGATATTATTATTGACTAATTTAAATGTGTAACATACAAATATATTGCCGTATATAATGCATCATGTATAACTCTCACTTCATTCCTACAGAAGAGTATCTTAAAGCTTTAAAGTCAATTGCATCAAGAGGGAGAGATGGTGAGGGTGATCTAACCAATGTACAATATAAGCATATTTGGAATTGTCACAATGAATCCCCCCTATACAACAAATATATCCTAATTAAAAAGAAAAAACAAAAACAAAAACAAGAAAAAAGGCCAATTGTAGAACTGGAGGTATGGCTCAAGTGGTATAATGCCTGCTTTGCAAGCATGAAGCCCTGAGTTCAAACCCCAGTCCCACTAAAAAATAAATAAATAAAGTTGATTGTAAAAACCTAGATATTGGGCTGGTGGAATGGCTCTGGTGATAGAGCGCCTGCCTAGCAAGGGTGAAACTCTAAGTTCAAACCTCAGTACTGCCCAAAAGGGCTGGTGGAGTGGCTCAAGTAGTTGAGTGCCAGCTTAGCAAGTGTGATGCCCTGAGTTTGAACCCCCATACCACCAAAAAGAAGCTGCTATTTTCTAGGACTGGTGGAGTGGCTCAAGTGGTAAAAGTACTTGCTTAGCAAGCATGAGGCCCTGAATTCAAACTCCAGCATGGCCAAAAAAAAAAAAAAAAAAACCTAGATATTTAGTGGCATAAAACTATTGTCATCATTTTTTTATTCTATAAAAGTGGTAGTCCCTTTCATGAAAATCATGTACATTTTCATATATACACACTAGCTTGGAATGGGGATAGTTGTGGACATGTGTCAAGGACTTTTCTCTGCAGCTCAGTACTTTTCTGTACCCTGTGAAATTGTAAAGAAAGAGGAAGAAGAGGAGGAAGGGAAGAGAAGACTTAGGTCAAACAGGAAAAGAAACAGCTTTGTATTGATCTTTCTTAGGTTACACTTGTGTGAGGGAAGATGACATTGAGACCATTTAAGAAAATTCTTGCAGCTGTTGTGGTGGCACATCTCTATAACCCCAGCTACTTGGGAGGCAGAGTTTAGAAGGTTCGTGGTCCCAGGCCAGTCCTGGGCAGAAAATGTGAAACCTTATCTGAAAAACAAAGTAAAAAAGGAGCTGGAGGCATAGCTGAAGTAGTAGAGCTCCTACCTTAGCAAACTCAAAAAGAAAATTCCTAAATCAGCTTCATAAGTAAGGAAATTTAAATTATCAACTATAATCTCAGGGAACAGAATCTTTTTCTCAAGAATACCCCTCTATCCATCTTTGAATATTCCAATTCTAATTCTCCTCCCCAGAGTCATCTTGTAATACTTCCAACCACAGAGCTCTTTCTCACTTCTAAAGCTCCCAGCCTAGGCCACTAACCTACCTCAAAGTCATTGGTCTTGCTGTTCCTGCTGACTGGACAAGAACCCCCATGACTGCTATCAAACTTCAGTCCCCATTTCAAAGGATAGGTCCCAAGTAGGCTTTTCTTTCTGATAAGATATATGAAATTCCTTTTAGTGACATCTCAGTCTTCTTGTGTAGTAAAAATATGGAGAGGAGTGCCTCCCCTTGGTTTCTTTCTCTAAGTATGATAAGGATCCCAACATGGAATCTATGGAAAGACTTAGACCAACTTCTGTCTACATAGCTCTAGGCTCCGATCCTCACATCACTATGGAAGTTCAAGAGAATGGACAGATCCGGCTGGAGTGCACCTCAGTGGGGTGGTACCCAGAGCCCCAGGTGCAGTGGAGAACTCCCACAGGAGAGAAATTACCATTCTCATCAGAGTCCAAGAATCCTGACGAAGAAGGCCTGTTCACTGTGACAACTTCAGTGGTCATCAGACACAACTCCATAAATAACGTGTCCTGCTGCATCCAGAATCTCCTTCTTGATCAGGAGAAGGAAGTAGGGATATCCATACCAGGTCAGTGAAAGCAACGCTGGATTCCTATGTTGTCACATCTTCAGGGCCACATGACCTGGGGCACCTACTCAAATGTGACCTCATAGCAGAGTTGTCCACTCTTCCCACCTAAGTGCTTGCCCACTGACTTGAGGGAGACCCACCAACTACATTAGAAGAGTAAAGACTCTGAAAGTATAAAATTCTCAAAATTGCGCATTTTTTTTTTTTCATTTTAGAAGATATTTTGAGGTAGAGAAGCTTTCTCTCTGGGAACCTTCACATCTAGGTCCTTCTCCTTGAATAAGCATGAAGACTAAATTATATTTCTAATTTTACTGTTTCTACTCTTATCCCCTCCTCCCCTTTTCATTTCATGCTAGAGCTCAGTATAGATTTCCAGTGCCTATAGGGAAAGAAATCCTTTCATTATTCCCTAGGTATAATTTCTGGTTTAGGCAGAAATATTTCCTTATTTATTGGTTAATGATTCTTATTCTGTTACACACAGAGGTGACATTTCCTCCTTCTTATTTACCTCCCTTGTCCCCTTGGCCTCCATTCTGCATTGATAGATCGTTAAGAAGGAATTTCTAAACATGAACTGGTTCATTGTATCCTTTATTTCACATTTGTTGTCCCCCCGCCGCCCCCCCCCAAAAAAAACTCTTCACTCCTCTCTTGCTCAAGTTCAAATTTTGCTGAAAAGCTCAGAGTGGTATTGGAGTAGCTATTTTTGCCATGGGAGAGTCAGAAGTGACCCAGGTTGTCCCCTCCTCCACATCACCTTTTAGTATCAGGAGAAAAGTTAGACTTGTTCATTTTCCCAACAATGTTCTTCTTTGGATTTTGTTTTAGTTAACTTCTTCCCAAGGCTGACTCCCTGGATAGTTGCTGTGGCTGTCATTCTAATAGTCTTAGGACTTCTCACCATTGGGTCCATATTTTTCATTTGGAGACTATACAAGGAAAGATCCAGAGAGCAGAAGAGTGAATTCAGCTCTAAAGGTAAGTCACAGAATCCACAAGGGCTGCTTGTCAGGAGTGCTTTAGAGGAAGTTTGCATACATTATCTTTAGAATGTCTTCCAACAGTAATATATTTGATTCTAGAAATTTGAAAGTTGGGAGGAATTATAAGTCTTCTGAAATCACAGATACTTGATGTGAAGAAGAGAGGTTGGGGCACAGGCAGAGTCAAGGCCATTTCTAATTGGCATTTTATTTATTTATTTTTTTTATGGTACTGGGGCTTGAACTCAGGGCCTACACCTGGAGTCATTCCACCAACCCTTTTTTTGTGATGAGTGTTTTCAAGATAGGGTCTCGAAAACCATTTGCCTGGGGTGGCTTTGAACCTCGATCCTCCAAATCTCTGCCTCCTGAGTAGCTAGGATTATAGGCAGGAGCCACCAGTGCCAGGTTCTAATTGGCATTTTAGACCTGATTTTACTCACTACCCCAACTTGTAACTCAGTTTCCCAGTAATCTTATTATTAAAGATCTGATCCTAAGCCAGCAGGAACTTCCTGATTATTTCTTAGAAAACAAAACAAAGTAAAATTCTGTTCCTTATTGGTAATGTTTCAGTAATTAGGTGGTTATGAATTAAACACTTTCTCTTTCATGTGTCTCCCATACCAGTCATATCCCCTCCCTCACGGCCATTATAAAAAAACCATTGAGATAATTTTGTTTGTTTTCCAGAGAAACTGCTGGAAGAGCTCAGTAAGTTCTAGCTTCTTGTCATTATTTCATCCACAAGGTTTTCTCTTTTGTTTTATAAACTGTCACTGACGATCTCTATCTTTCATTGCAGAGGAGAAAAAGGCTACATTGCATGCAGGTCAGTGACTCTAAACTTCTCAAGGCCTCTGAGGCTTTATCTCCTGAGAATTCAAAGCCCTGTGAGACTTGGATATAAGAACACTAAACATACTTTAGAAATGAGGACAAAAAAGGGAGAGGTGATGGCAAATGGGCTCTTGGAAGATGGCTAGGAGACAAGATGCTTCTAATAACATCCCATTAGGGATAATCAGCTCTTATATCACCCTGTGGCTGCTGGTGTTGTGAGGAGACTTTGAGGGGTGGAGACTTGTAAGTAGGCCAGGAAGTTAGCTATCTGAGGAACCCTGTCAACTCCCAGAATACTGCTCTTTCTTTGGAGAAGGAAAGATGGGTCCCGTAACTGTGACTGGAAGTTGAGCTCTAGTGTATAACTTGGTTTTTGCTTTGAGAGAAGAATTCAGGCAAGTGAAAATGATAGTAAAGTTCATTAGGAAGGGAGTACACTTTCAACAGACTGAAAGCAGGTTGTCTCTAGAGTGAGAATGACAGCATCAGCATTTAGAATTGGAATATTTATTGAGGAATTCTTAGCCCCAGGTCCATTTTGCCCCTAGAATAGATCCCTAGGCCTGGGTTTTCAGATTACCTATGTGACATTCTCAGTCCCTGCTCTACCAGATGTCTAGAGAGAAGCTCTTGGGCCTGGGTCTTTGTCTTATTAAATTAAAGAGATTCCTCATGTAAACTCACAGCCCTAGTTGATGTTTAGGATGGAGATTACTCTTGAGTAAAGAAAGGATTAAGCTTTAGGAAAATGGCTAACTTCAAAGTCCTGTGATAGCCCCTGGCCTCTGGCTACTTTGATCTTAACAGAAACTGACCAGTGGAGTTGGGAAGTTTAATTACAATGATTTTCTTCTTCTTGTGGCTATCTCTTATATCTAACTGCTACCTAGCATAACCTCTACCATTCACTGATCTTTATACTTTCTGTCTCCAGTTGATGTGACTTTGGATCCAGACACGGCCCACCCCCACCTCTTTCTATATGAGGATTCAAAATCCGTTCGACTGGAAGATTCACGTCAAAAACTGCCTGACAAACCAGAGAGATTTGACTTCTGGCCCTGTGTGTTAGGCCGGGAGACCTTCACTTCAGGCAGACATTACTGGGAGGTAGAGGTAGGAGACAGGACTGACTGGGCAATTGGTGTATGTAGGGAGAATGTGATAAAGAAAGGATTTGACCCCATGACTCCTGAGAATGGGTTCTGGGCTGTAGAGTTGTATGGAAATGGGTACTGGGCCCTAACCCCACTCCGGACCCCTCTCCCATTAGCAGGATCCCCTCGCCGGGTTGGGATTTTCCTAGACTATGAGTCAGGAGACATCTCCTTCTACAGCATGACTGATGGATCTCATATCTATACTTTCCCCAGCATCTCTTTCTCTGGCCCCCTTAGGCCCTTCTTTTGCCTGTGGTCCTGTGGTAAAAAGCCCCTGACCATCTGTCCAATTGCTGATGGGCCTGAAAGGGTCACAGTCATTGCTGGTACCCAGGATCTTTCCAAGGCTATCCCATTGTCCCCCATGGGGGAGTACTGTGCCTCTGGGGATACAGACACTCTCCATTCTAAACTAATTCCTTCCCAACCCGGCCAAGGGGTGCCTTAAGGAATATCCCAGCTCAACAATTTTCCTGTGCTCTAACTTCTCTCCTTCATCATCCCAAGGCTTCAGCTCCAGCTTCAAATAGTCCCTGTTTGTGTACTGATTAATTTATCTTGGGAAGGTTGTGCTGCTTCTGCTAGAGAAGGTGGGGAATAAGACCTTCCTAAAATATCGTGGTTTAGGGGAGGAGAGGTGACTCTGAATTAGCTTCTTCTCTCTTATTCCTTAAGGACAGAACCTACAGGAAAGAACTTGGAGCAAACAACTGTGGAATAGAGATGAGGTTAGGTTGGCATAGGGTTGTGACAGAAAAGTCTTGTTATTTGGAGGAACAGGTTTTAGGCAAGTAGAAAAACCAAAGGGTACTGGGAGATGAAGATTTTAGGCTAAAATACTATAAAGGAACTTGGAGTGGACATCAAGTTAGAGGAAAATGACGTATACATGCCCTGCTCCTAGAGTTTTTCTGGCCTGTATCTCAAATTGTCTAAATCATGTCCTACAGGGTAGAAGAGATGCCCCTACTTCTATGGGATGTGAGCTGTGGGGAAGGGGGAATAGGAGCTGAAATGAGCAGGGCTTGAGGGCTAGTCAGAAAGTATGATATGGGGAGAATTTTGGACAAAGCCCATAACTTTCTGAACAACACTGACTCGGACCCTTTTCCTCTTTCTGCACCCTCCTGTTTTTTCCTTATCTAAGGCCAATCTAACCTTACTTTGTTGACTCCAAAGTTTCCCTGGTCTCCTCTTCTTTTTGAACTAGCATCCTTTAGTGATATCACCACGTTAGCAGTCACTGTCTCAGTCTCATGTCCCCTTAGACCTCATCCCAATGTCCAAACTCCTCACACTTACTTTCAGTTAGCTTCAACTGCCATCCATTTCCACACTGCGCCACTGCTCACTGTTACTCTACCCAGCTTTCCACCCTACTTTCACATGCTTTTTCTCAGGATCTCCAAAGACTGGCTGTACTCCAAAGGCTATGCTCAGCACAGCTGGATTGATTGCCCTGTTTATATTTGCCCCTGAGCATTTTCCTCTACACATGTGGCTTAGCTTGCCAATAGACTGCAAATGTATTCAAGCTCACACATTCTATTTTCACTGTATTTTTCCACTTTCCAGGAAGAATTTTGTCCCTGGTCTTTATCTAATAAATAAGTTTGTCTGATTGCTGAAGGCAACCTCTACTGTCCTTTATTTTTCCTAACAAGTGGGACTGAAAAAAAGCAAAACCGAGAGGAGAAATCTACATGGGAATGTAGTTGACCAAGCAGAGTCATTCTAGATGGTCCAAGGCCCATCCTCAGGCCTGAGGGCAGTGGCTCACGAGAATGGGCAGGTGTAGGGTCTGCTGCCCACAAGAATCTAAATAGAGAAAGGTCACAGTGCCAATGGCTTTCTGCCCTCAACCCTATGTGGGTGCTCTATTTTTACCATTATAAAGGTAACTGATCCTTGGTGTTGGTGAGTTGAAACTAACTCTTCAAATTAACAGGACTTTTCGAGGAGGAGAAAATATTTGGAAATATTTATTTGTTTATGCCTTGTAGTTTAAAAAAAAAAAGCATGATGATCTTTGGAAACCATTGCTTCTGGGGGAAAACTCTATGTATTCCTACTTAAAGGTTCTGATAGTTTGGTGAGATGCCCACTTTTTCTTCTGTTATCCCAAGCAAGGATTAGGACTACTCATTTTATAGAGGGTCTGACCTGAATGCAATTCAACCAACCCTGCTGCCCATAGGGACAGAATTTAAGTCTCCAAAAGTTCACAAATGGTAGGAAAAATCATCTCGTTATTGTACCACAGTTTATCTTTCATGATTAATCTAAAACCAACTTTTCTAAATTTTCAATCTACCTATGACCCTCAGTGAGGATAATGACAAAGACAGTGGAAATTCTGAACATGAGATAGGTCTATTATCATTACATTCATGATACTTTAAGCTAAATATGATCACAATATACTCCATTTTCCATCTTTTGTTATTATCTCTCCCAGACCCCACCTCCATTTATGTTTTCATTCTGGTTTTGGTGTATTCCTGCTGACTTGGGAGTAAATACCTATATAATAATATCTACATAATTGCATTCCTGCAGATGTATAACTAGATTTTTTAAAAATGAATCTGCTTCTGAATTTGTAAGTCAGTAGACTTTAAGAGGTTTTACTCTGAAAAAAAATGTAATTGAACTTTAGGAAGAAAAGCAACTGTTGACATTTAATACCAGTCCCTTCCTTTCAGAGATGAGGAAACTGAAGTCAAATGAAATGAAGTGCCAAGCCAGTATCCAAAGACAGGTGTCCTTGCTGTAGCTGTCCATGATAAACTCTACTGAGTGAACCGCAGCTGGCAGTTGGGGAGGAGGCCAGATTAAGTTAATTAAGGGCTGGGACTTCAGAAAACTCTTTAGAGATATTATCACAGTAGAATCCTTAGGCTCAGGAGATTCTTAGGCATAGGGAGGGACAGAAGAAACAAAAGGCAACTCAGCATGCATGCCACTTCTACTTGGATTGAGGCTCTGCAACTAAGATGCAGACAAAAAGGGCTCTGCTGTTTTTGTCTGTTTTCTGTTGTATAACAAAACACCTAAGATTAGGTAATTTATAAGGAACAGAAAGTTACTTGGCTCATGGTTCTGGAGGCTCAGAAATTCAAGAGCATAGCACCAGCATATAGTGGTAAAAGTTCTAACATAATGAGACAAACAAGCTTGCCAGAGAGAGCTCGATTTTTTAACAAATCCTCTTCCTATGAAAACCCATTGATCTATTAATCCATAAATGAATTAATTCACTTATGAGGGCAGACCCCTCATAACCCAATCATCTCTCAGAGTTCCCATCTCTCAAATTAACATATGACTTTGGGGCTGAAGATATAACTACATGGTAGAACTCTTGCCTAGCATGTACCAGGCCTTGGGTTCCATTCCCCACTACCTCTCCCCCGCCTCCAGTTATGACTTTGAGAATTAAACAGTCAACACCTGAAACTTGGGGAACATATTCAAGCCATAGCAGGGTCCTCCCTCCATCATTGTATAGGTCCCAGTGTCCTCCTTTCTTTGGCCCTTTCTCAAACACTACCTACCCCATGATGCCTACCCTACACTGTACTCCTGGGAGGAGAATATCATTTAGCTCTGCTTTAAAAAATTCATTTATGTTCAAATTGCACCTTCGGAAATTTAAAGAAAAGCATTGTCAAAATGTCTTTTAAAAATACTTAGTAACCTTGGGCAACTGCATTACCAGATTTACCTGGCTGTATATGTTATACACATCCTAAAATGTGTCTGAAAACCCTCACCCACAATAGATGGGGCTGCCATCTAATCTTTAAGATTAGAAAGAAAAAATGGTCTCAGATTTTAATCAGCTCTACAGCTCCCCTTCCCTTCCCTTTTCCGCGTGATCTTCTAGGAAAATGGTCACTGGGCAGAATACTAAGCTGGTGGTAGGTTTTTAAGAAACACTAGTTTTACCTCTCCATGTCTCAGTTCCAACCTCTTTGTATGTCACACTCAAGGAAGAATTTATCTGATAAAGCTACAACCTGCAAGTTGTTCCCTGTCCAGCTGGCACTAGCTATCAGAACTGTGCTCTAGTGATGAGGAAAGTATTGGTCTCAGTAGTTCTGGCTATTTCCAAGTCTCCTAAAAGAGAAGAATAATTGTCTTGCCAATACCTGCCTTAGTCACATGAGGCAAAGTCAATGATACTGATTTCTGATACACCAAAAAGCCACCTTCTGCCTCTATAAATAACTACCTGAAGTACTTGCTAAATTTGATTTTTCCATTTAAACAAAAGTCATTCTACCCCACCACTAAAGATCAGACTGAAAAATGCAAAAGCCACTAGAATAATAGCTGACTTCATTCCACACTGCCAAATGCCAACTCTGGTAGTCACATGTTTCCAGGGTATCTATCTTGTTTAACAAAGGCCAGCCATTTAGCTTAAAAGAAAAATGATTATACAACATCCCTCTGTCCTAATCAAGAGCAAATCTTCCATGCCATCTCTCGGCACATCTCAGTTCATGTCTCTTCTGCTTCAAATCTTCCACTCGTGACTGTAGTGATTAATGACCCACTTTCAACTGTGCACACATTTGCTCTTGACTCTTTATTCCTTAAAACTGGAAACAACTTATTCTCCTGAAAAATATGGGTTTTCTTAAAACTAAAAATGGTCCAACAATCTCATCACACAAATATATCCAATGTCAACCTTTGATCTTCTCCTTAAAAATGTCTATTACTTGTTTCAGTGGGTTTAAACTAATTGCTCTTTGGGGAATGAGTTTCACAGCCCTTTGGAATGCTTTTGGTATAAATGTGGTAGCTGTGTGAGACATAAAAAGAGATTTAAGACAACCATGCCAATTGATGGAAGCTATGATGACATGGGCATAAGAATGAGAAAGGCAAAACTGGACTCAGTTTGATGCCTCCTCTTGAGACTGGGGTTTGTTCTTTTTTTTATTCCATGTGACAAAGACTGGTAGATTTCCATCCTTGCCTTCTCCCATAATGTTAGCACTCCCAAGTTATAGATAAGCTCACGGACATTTCAGAGCCTCACCTGTATCTCTGTATGTTCTGGTAAGTGGAATGTGAGAGCAAGCAATTGTTGTGGCTCACACCTGGCCCTCTCTTCCAGCATTGTGTTGCTTGTCCTGTGGACAAGGGGACCATCTTAGATATGCACTAACACCCAACATTGAGAAGGACAGAGCCTGGGTCCCTGATGATCTCACCCAGCAACAGCCTTCTTGATTTTTTTCATAAGAGAAATACAAGTTTATTTCTATCTTGTTCAAGCCATGGTTATTTTGAAATTTTCTCAGATAACTGAAGCTATACCCTAACTAGTGTATACACAAATGACTCTTGGCACCCTTGTAAGAGATTGAAAATGCCTCAGGTAGTAGATTTGAATGCATTTATTTAAAATGGCATTTCTTATCAACTGAGATTCTTATAACCGTGTCAAAATTTCCAGTTTCATAAAAGTACCTGACATGGTACCAAAAGCCTGCCAAGGGAAAGTCAGATGTGGGAACTGAGCAACAATAATTTATTCTGGAAGAATGGCTGATAACCAAGGAGAGCACTTAGAGTATTGCTATTCATGATGGTCCTGGGTCCATTTCTTAGACTCACAGAACCAGAGCCCCACCCCAGATCTCCTGAATCAGAAACTGTATTTTAACTATAACTCCAGAAGATTCATGTGCACTTTGAAGTCTAAGAATAGACTAGATGCATGCTTCAAAATATTATGCATTTACTGAGGAGGGGAGGGGGCCAGAAGATCTTAACTTAGGTGCTAATAATAACCCACCAAGTGGTGTCCCCTCCAATTTTGATCAATGTGGAAAATGCATTTGTGGAACAATTAAGCATGCATAATCACAGTAACTAATAGTGACAGAGAATTTATTATGTATCAGATCCTGTTGTATGTGCTTTACATACAATAATTCATGACATTTTCCAGACGCCTATGAGGTAGGATTAGTGAGAGCCCTATTTTATAAATACAGACAGGTGCAGAGAGATGAAATGGCTTCTATTTTTTTTCCTTTCTTTTTTTTGTTTTTTTTTCTCCTCAGGAGATGGCTTCTATCATCTGCTGGTCATCAGGGTCTAGTCTCCATGCTGTTGGTTATTATACTACTAAGTACAGTGTCCAGGTAGTGACCTCAAACAATCCTACAAACTAAGCAGATGCTGTATTGGTTTATGGTTTATAGAGTAGTTGTACACTACTCTATTACAAAAACAGGTAAGAGAATTAACATAACACCAAGTTACTGCCAAAGAAAGATCTTGTACTGGATTATACAAGAATGTAGCCTCGAAGGTGTCTGTGACTCACACCTGCAATCCTAGCTACTCAGGAGGCAGAGATCAGGAGGATCAAGGTTTGAAGCCAGCCTGAGCAAATAGTTTGTGAGACCCTATCTTGAAAAACCCATCACAAAAAAAAAAAAAAGGCTAGTGGCATGACTCAAGGTGTAAGACATGAGTTCAAACCCCACCTCTGCAAAAAAAAAAAAAAAAAAAGGAATGTGGCCACTGTGGGTATGATAGTAACATGCCTATAGTCCCAGCTACTCAGGAGACGGGCAGGAGAATACCCTGGGCCCAGGAGATCGAGAACAGTTTGGGAACATAGCAAGACTCCATCTCAAAATAAAACAAAAATCCTCCAATGGCTTCCCAAGTGTGGTCAAGATATGTCAGTCTCCACTTACACAATCTGGCCTTTGGCTACCACTGCAACCTCATCTCTTCCCATTCCTCTTTTCTTTCCTCCAGACACAGAGGGGTTTTGTTGCTTATTCATTCTCACCTGTGAAAGTCATGAGGCGAGAGGCCTAGCATCCTAGCTAAATACGCAATATGAATGAGTCCAGGCAAGGCCAGCAGAAGAGAGGCAGACTTGTAAGAAACACTACATCGCTGTTTTACACTACTGGGTTATTTGCTATGCCACAATAAATGAGACAATTGCTTTAAAAATGTTTGCTAATGTGAATCATATTCAGTTTTGCTTCCTATAGTTTTAATCTTTCATAAAAATATTACTTTATAATTCTTTTTCTTTTTCTTAGTGATAGTAAAGTTTATTAGGAAAATAATACACTTTCAGTGGACTGAAAGTGGGTCATCTCTGGAGTGAGGTGACTTTTTTTTAAACTCATTTTTTTTAGGATATATTCATTGTACAGGGGGGATTCATTGTGACAATTCTGAATAGACTTAAATTGTACTTGGTTAAATTACTTCCACCATCCCTGTCCCCTGCAAACCTCCACCTCCCCTTACCCCTCGCCCCACTTAAAGCAATTGCAAGAGGTTTCATCATTCCATTTCATATATGTACATGAAGCCCATCAATCATATTCCCTCACTTTCATCTCCTTCTGTTCACCCTTCCCCCACCCTTTTTTTTGAAGGTATTCCTATTCTTCATTGGGAAACTGAACTAAAGCAGCATTTCCCTTTAGGCCTAGTGGCTAAGTTGAAGGAACTACTTGATCATAAACCACAGCCTGGGCCCCCATCCTGGGCCCATTTTCCTCCATGTTTCTTAGTCCCTTTGCCTCACTAGAATATAAGTCCCAGTATGGTGGTATTTCTGTCTGATGTATTTGCTGCTGGTTCCCCAGCACCCAGAACACTACCTAACACATAATATGCACCCAATAAATATTTGCGTTATGTTGGATGAATGAGTTGCCACTCTTATCTCATGTCCTGGAGGTCAGTATCCATCACTACCCTGTGTACAAAGCAGAGATAAATTGCACTTTGAGTAGCCAGCCATCAATGCCAAGTGGATCTTTGCTGATTTTCAAAAGGTAGAGGGGTTTGCCTCAGTCCATTAAAGTCCCATTTTCAGGTGAAGATATTCAGTCCCAATTATACTACTTTGAACAGAGGGAAAATAATGCCCTTAAATTCCAGCAAACTTAACCACAGTCTCCTCTGACACTTAAGCTCTGGAATTGTTCTCTCTTGATCTTTTGGCTTCAGAACTTAGTATTCTTCAGGGACTCCACAGAAATGGCATTGAGAATGACTCAACAGTTATAGAACCATGCCATTTATTATTATTCCTGATTGAAAAAAAAAGCCCATAATAGTAACTAGTATTTAGGGTGTCCCACATAGATGCTAAGAACTTGTTATGTATTACCCTATTTACCTAAAAATTAGCCTACTAGTAATTACTATGTTATTCCCATTTTACAAATGAAATACCTGGGGTTCAGAGAGATTAAGTAACTTGGTCAAGGTCACATAGTAAGTGGTAGAGGTCACACATGGATCTTTCTGAAACTAAGTTCATGCTTTATTCATAGTACCTCCTCATTCAAATATTCTCATGTAGCTCAAATTCTTTCTCTCTCTCTCTCACATACACACACACACTATTGTTTGCTGTGTCTATTCATGTAGCATCACGTTCACGAATACAGAAGTGAAAGAGTGCTGTACCTCTTGATTGATGAGTTTTCTCATTAAATTGCTATTTATTCCTCCTTTGGAGATTTTTGCCTTCTCCAACCATAAAATTACCTAATCCTTGGCTCTTTCTTTGCTTTTTTTTTCCCCCCATGATGACACTAGGTATTGTTAGATGGCTAGATTCAGAAACATTACCTGCATACTTGAGATACGAACTTAAATGCACAAAATTCTCCCAGAGGTCTTCCATAGTATTCTGTGTGAACTATTTTCATCTCATCTCCCAGAAAAGGTAGACTCTACCATTTTAGGTGACAGGAAACACCTTCTTTTGGTCATGGTCATCTTTTTAAGTCCAATAATTCACATTCATGTGTCTCAGTGTGGGTCTTAGAGCATTCGTTGTGAACTGTGCTTTCCACTGCTCTGCTCCGTGTTGTTACAGATATTTTGAACTGGAGTCCTGTATCACATGGGCTCAACACCCATATGAGTATGGCTGCACCTTCATCCTTAAAAGAGAGATTCAGACTTTCTCTAAAACTCAACCATAAAACCACAATCTCAAATCTGGATTTAAATTAGAATCACCTGGAGGTAACAAGGACCCCTTAAAAAAATACAGTTTGCAGGTGGCAGTCCCAGATATTCTGATCTAATTGGTCTGGGATGGAGAGCATGGTTTGTTTATTTATTTATTTATTTATTTATTTATTTATTTATTTTGGGGTTTGAACTCAGGGCTTTGCACTTGCAAACCAGGCACTTCTTCTTGAGCCATACCTCCAGTTCAGGATGGTTTATAAAACCTCTTCAGGAGACCCACCGTCTTAGCAGACTATCAAAAGCATTACCCATGAGCTTTCAGATCTCACTTCTTGCTAATGAAGCAGAAGGGGCTTCTCTGTTGAGAATTTCAGGGTTACTGTATTTTAAACCAGTGGGTCTTAAACCAACATGCCTCAGAATCCTGTGGAAAGCTTGTTAAACACAAACTGTGGGGCTTTGTGTCCAAAACTTATTCAAAATGAGATTATAAATATTTATGGTGTACAAAATAATGTTTTGATATATGTGTTCATTGTGAAAAGGCTAAACCAAGTTAATCAACCATTAAAAGCAGTTATCTTTGTATTTAAAAAAAAAAAACTTATCTTTTTGTGTGTGGGGGTGTGTTGAGAACATTTAAAATCTGCTCTCCTGAAGTACACAATACGGTCTTAACCGCAATTACCAGGGTGTAAATAGCAAAACTTCAGATTCAATGGATCTGGATAGGGCTGAGAATTTTTGTCTAACTAGTTCCCTGGAGATGAGTGTTTGGTGCCCTATTTAAGGGATTAAGCAATAGTAGTTAATCAATTGAACTCAAACTGGAAAGTGTCTAAAAAAAAAAAAAAAGCAATTTCTAAAGTCCACCGAGGCAAAACGACTTGTTTGACATCCCCCAGGCAGTGAGTTGACTAGATATAACATTGTTTGAAATTGGAGCTCAGGTTACCTTGACTTCCCAGTCAGTGATTAACCACACCGTCCTGACTGCTAATGCTAAAAATATTGAAGGTCACCTCTGATTTGCTTGAGGTGTGTTTTGAAAATCCGTTGCGGTAGAGACTTGCTATCAAGTGACCCCAGCTCTGGGTTTAGTAGATACGGAAACTACTCGCTATTTTTCTGTTTTATTTTGTTTTACTTTTTAAACTTTTAAAAATTACAGTACAGCCTCTCCACAGAAAAGTGCACGAATCCTCAGGTACATCTCCACAAACTAAGATCAAGAAGCAGGACCATCCTGTCACCTTAGGCCCTTTGCTAGGGTAAACACCCGAAAATAGAACCCACGGGGAAGGGCGAGGGAGGAGATAAGCGAGCGTCCAATTCCAGCAATAAATTGGTATAAGCCAAAAGCCTCCCGGGAGCGAGTGTAAATCTAAGCAAGGCATCCCGGCAATGTTGGGTTCAGCGCCTCGTGCTCCCGGGCTGCGGGGCGCTGGGAAGGCTCACCGTGGCCGCCGTCTGCCGGACTCCGGGGCGTCAATGTCCGCACGCGAGACGCCTCTCTGCCGCCCGCTCGCATCCCGCGCTTCCACTCGAGCTCGCCAGGGGCAGTTCGCCAAGTAGCTTAGTTAGTACCTTAAAAGAAAAAAGGAAAACAAATATAGTGAATGACATATGGAAACAGATTCAAATAAATTCTGAGCGAGAAGTAGCTTAAGCAGGTCAGGATGGCCGAGCGGTCTAAGGCGCTGCGTTCAGGTCGCAGTCTCCCTGGAGGCGTGGGTTCGAATCCCACTCCTGACAGCTAATTTTCTTGCTGCTTCCATATTTTTTTATATGTTCATTATGTTAATAATCAAAATTCGAGCTCTGAAATAAACGTATTCCATCCGAGGAAGACTAATTGAAAACTAGTGAGTGATTTTAATCTCATGTCTTTTTTCTCTGTGTTTAGTTTTCTCCCCATCTCCTGCACACGGAGAATTGAATGAATATTAACTCTTAAATTCATGGTGCATTATCGTCACTGATGCCCACAGGCTCTCTCTTTTGTTTTATTCATTTATTGAGTCTTTTAAAATTCTCTTTCCTCACTATCATTCCCCTAACCCACTATCACCTCCTTCACCACCTTCACCCCCACTATCCAGAAGAAATTGTCATTGGAAAGGTCATCCTTTCTCCTCCCTCCCCTCCTTCCTTCCTATTTAGTAGAACAGGTATTATTAGTGTGTGTTTTCCATATGCTTAATCTACATAGTATCATAGATACCATTCTATTTTTACTTGATTCCTTTGACAGCATGGTTTTGAGCTATGTTTGTGCATAACCAGAGCCATTGCTTTTAATTGCTGCATTGAGGTCTGCTGTGTGAAGTCACCTGTTCTCCCAGGTATGGCTCCCATAATGGGTCCACCCCCACTACTGAAGCAGGATTTCATTAATGTACATCTTCCTTCATGTTCTATTATGAATCTATGAAGATTTTCCTTAAAACACAGAAGGGACAAATTGCAGGACATGAGGTCTGAGAATCCACTAATTTTACAGTTCAGACTATGACCCAGGGAGAATGACTTAGATACACAGAAATCCGTACCTGTAACATCTCCAAAAGTATCCCTCAAATTCAGCTTTCTGATGTCCAACCTGCTCATGTTGAGCATGAATACTCATGTGCAAGCCTTCCATTTTGAACTTATTATTGCAAAGCACCAATTAATCAAAAACCTCAGGTAAGTGGAATCTTTTCTTTTCTATTCTTTTTTTGCAAAAGGAAATTCCATCTAATAATAGTCTGTGTAGGCTAAATATAGGGTGATTCTTGATCTGTGATCATTGATATTCAAAATTGGTCTGTCTTCTCCTCTTCAGGATTCCTCAAAATTCACAGATTAATACATAACTATAAGAAAAGAGAACTGGTATTCACTTGTCGATAATCAACAGGACTAGAAAACAACGAGCAGATGAGGTGTCCTCTTGTAATCACTCCATTTCTTCCCACCCCAATGCTCTGATTCAACATGATTTTGAATCCACACTTTGGCCTTGGGAACATAAGAGAAAGGATGAAATGGCAAAAAAGGTGCAATGCCTAGAGTGACGGAGAAACACTTGAGGTGATTGGAAGGACAACAATTTGGTCTAATTCAATTCAGACCTCTAGAACTTACCCATGGACTCTGCCTCTTATGAGCTATCTGACTTTGCATCTTTGTGCCTAGGTGCATTCTGCTTTACAATAGAGGAAATAATTATTGTACCTTACTTCTTAAATTTGCCATGAGGATTGCGTGTCAGAGTACCTGACAACGCTGGGCGTGGTGGTGCATACCTGTAATCCTTGCACTCAGTAGGCTGAGGCAGGAGGATTGCAGCAAATCTGATCCCAGCCTAAGCTACACAGCAAGACCCTGCCTTAATAGTAGTATTTCATACTTGTAAAGGAGCATCAGTCCTTTCTAAGGCCTCCTCAAGTCTGCCTTTTCTAGTGTGTTACCCAGTCTGTGACAATCAAATGGATGCTTCTTGACAGGTTTTCTGAAGTCACTGTGACTAGCATTTGTTTTCATATTGATTTCTCCTTTCCAAAAAGCTCTTAGCACAATATAATCTTTGAAAATAGCAAGTCATGGCTTGTTTTATATGATTGGATTTTGCTGGCTGCTATGAACTGTCAGAGGCACTGCAGATTTCTCAGTGATAGACTTATCAATCATCCCAAAGGTTGACTTTTCTATAAAGCATTGCCTGCAGATTGTAAGAGTGCATCAGTTTAGGAATTCTTCAGGAAGGAAAATATTATAATCAGAGGTTATGCTCTTGATTGTAATTTAAATTTGGGGATTTTACTTTCTGCTTTCCCTAATTCCTTTTGCATTTACTGAATGAAAAATAAATATTACTTGTGGAACAAAAATACTGAAACACCAAGAAGTGAAGACATTTGCTTTTCTGAAAGAAAAACTAATTCACCTGTTTTTTTTAAATGACAATCTTTCCTCAGATCCATATGAAATATTTTGGTGAAACCCCCATAGAGCAAAATTACCTCTAAGGCTATACTCGCATCGACCATCGTTATATTATTGGAACCAAGAAAAAAAACAAGTCCTTTGTAGGCCCCGCTGGGATTCGAACCCAGGATCTCCTGTTTACTAGACAGGCGCTTTAACCAGCTAAGCCACGGAGCCAGTACGCTTCCCATTCCTCGAATCAACAAAGAAAAGGAATCAGGTTGCGCGTATTTGCTCTCCAGTTACTGAGAAGTAGACCAGGCGTTTCTCCAAATCTTCCGTCAGCTTGGCCCCCAAAACCTCCGTTTCAGGAAAACCGAGTCCTCGCGAAGGTGGGCTGGGGGAGGCGCGGGCGCAAGCCTGAACCCCTGGGGTGCGCCGGGAGGGTGTTTGCGGAGAAACTGCCCGCAAGGACAAGAGTTGTGCTGGTCATCCTGCCGTGGTTGAAGTACGAGCTGGGGCGTCGCGGGGAAGGAGGGCAGGACGTGGCGGTGTGCAGCATGTTTACACCAGACTCCTCCGGGTCGTGGAACGCATTAACACTGCCAAGCACCAAGAATGCGTCCCTGCAGGAAGCTAACGGCCTCTTATTTCTTCCTATTTAATTTCTTTTTAAATTAAACTGGAAGTTAAGATTTCAGTCATTTTTTTCCCTGTAAAATTAGGTTTCACCTACCTGCTTCTTGCTTGCAAGACTAATGGATTCCAGAGTCGTGCTTTAAAAATGCAATGCTTCCTAATTAACAACATAAACTTGGAAAGAGATAAAGAGGAGGTCCCTCCCCGCGGCGGCTATAATTGATTGAAGGTTTCTTGTCCTAATGCTTGCCCAAAGGATCCGACTTGATAGTATGTCAAGTTGAGAGCATTCCCCAAAACACTGTCGTGAGGGCTTGTGTGAGTATTTGTTCCTACTCCCAACTTACTCCGTTCTCTGTTAAGATCAATCTGTCGGTGGGAATTGTTTACAAATTGTTGCCATTGCTGAGAAAGTAACTTCCTAAATGAAACCTGTAATTATGATTGGCTGTTTTACTTGAGCTCTGTTGTCCCGGTGAGAATGCTGAATTCGACATTACAATTATTTCTAAGCTATATCCTATTGAAGGATCTCTCTGTTACAGCCGTTGACACGTACCTTCAGCTACATGCATGTGGGGGGGGGGGCAGAAAAACATATCACTCTGCTAGATTTCTTACTTTCATAAAGAGATTGAAAGTCTAGAAACTGGACACTCAGTTTAAGACTCAGTGGAATTAGCACCTATTTCCGAACTATTATATGATCACCCATCATATTATTGGTGTGCTAGGAGCCAAAATAATCATAAATAGCACAGTCACACCAAATATAGCTTTGACGAACCATGGCCAGTGCCAGACGACAGCACCAGTTGTTTTTGATTTGGGTTTTCCTTTGACTGGTTGCTGACAATATTTGCACAGAATTTCTATGTCAAAGGTATTGTTTAGCAAGAAATTAGTCTTGAAAGATAATTTAAACTTTGAGCAATCCTTTACAGAAATCTAATGATCCGTTTTCACTATGATCAGGGAGAACCTTAGAAACTTCATGCTGGGGTGTGTGTGTGGTCTCTCTTACTGGTTCTGTTTTCTTAGGGATTCTGTTTCTCTGACCGGTGTACTCACTGTAGAAAAGACTGAAAGTTGAAACTAGAATTGTCAAAAAAAACCCCAAAAAACCAAAAACCAAAGTACACCCAGTAGAAAGATTACCCCAAACAGAGTGAAACCATACCTTGTTGTGAATATGACTTTGAAATTTAAGGCAACCAAGAGAGGCCTCCAACAATATGTAAAACAAAGTCTGGTTTTGATAGATAAACACTGAGCAGGAAACAGGAACTAGAGTATGAACAGAGCCTCAGCCAGCTGGGCTAAAGCCATTTGGGAGATAGAGGACAGGACCCTTGACTTTCAGGTATTATGTGATCAGGATAAAATAAGGTCAGGAACTATGGTAGTTTGCTTTATTACTGAAACTTCAAGCACAATTCTTCATCTTTCCAAACTCCTCTTCAGAACAGAAATCTCCTTTTTGCTTTTAATGGAGGAGAGCATGATCTGTGAAGCTAGATGGGAAAATAAATGCTGACTTAGAGAAAATTTGTGCTTTTTTTTCCATTCTGAATGTAGGCAACAAACCGCAGTGATATTTCAGCCCTTGTGAATATCGTTATTGGAAACCACAAGTGTTTCACATCGAAATACAGTTGCTGCAAATTTGTTAAAATGTCATTTACACTCCTAACTCCTTAGAAATTACAGTATCCCCCACTTGGGTTAGATATTATTTTGTAGTTCCTTAGTATTTAGCACAAATATTATATCATAATTTAAAATATTTTGATAACATATTTCTATGTAATTGGTTTCCTTTTAATATTTTACATATTTATCTTTTTTCTTTATATTTAAAAGAATTGTTCTGTGATGGAGTCCAAAATCATCAAACTGCCCTAGGTCTCCATGGTACAAAACCTGATTAGAACTCCCATATTTTATTGTCTAGAGAGGAAGTGTCTATTAGGTCTACTTTAATGCTTATTTATGCAGGAAGAGCAGAAACATGTAATTTTTTTTTAAGGGCTGTTGAAACTGTATGGACTAACACCAAATATTTTTTAATCTCATTGTGTATATTTTCAGTATCAAGCAGTTTTATTCCTACTTAATTGCCCACAATTTATTTACAATGATCACCGGACATGGGTATATGCTTTTTCAGAAGCATAGAGAGACTGAAATATACACATAAGAGAAAAACCTTTGTTTTTGAAAGCACCCATAAGTGCACCAGATTGACGATGCTCACCTTTGAAGGTATCAGACCCTGAGAAACAGGTCCTATTGTAAGAGCAGCACACTGAGCACGCCTAAGGTGGTCTTGCTTAGGAAATATTTGGGAAACACTTTTTTTTTTTTTTAATGCCCTACGGAAAGACAAAAAAAAAGTCAGATCAGGTCACCTTGCGACAACTTCCCATTTCCAAATCCCCTTTCTCTGTTTTATTATTTTCTTCTTCCAAGTTTTATCTCCATGTTATTTTATTTATTTGGTGCTTTATCACCATATTATTTTCTTGAGAGTGTTCTTATCTCCTGTGCCTTGAGCAGTAGTTTTGGTTGAGTGAATGCAAGCTCTGAATGAAGAGGTAATGTTGGGGCAGAGAGGATGCAGGATTTGCCTCTTACAGCCATGTTTCTTTTTTTGCAGGGGTGGGGGGACACGGGACAGAAACATACCTAGAAATAAATAGGGATAATGGGGTGTGTGCAGAAGCGGCCAGGAGTCCACACAGCGAGACTTGCCGGCATCGCAGGGTTGGCCCCAATCGCAGCATTGCCAGGAGGAGCCGCGTAATCACCTTAGTTCTTATGAAAACGCATCCGCCACAAAGCAAGGCCAGTGGTGCAATAGATAATGTGTCTGACTACAGAACAGATGATTCCAGTTTCAACTCCTGGCTGGCTTGGTGTGAGCGGGTGTCTTTTGCTTTCTTCGATTCCTGATTCCATGATGTTGGAATTAAAGACTCACCTGTGCCAAAAAAAAAAAGACACTCAAGACACAGAGGAAATCTTGACAAGGCATTTCTTTTGATGAAAAGGGTGCACACACGTATTCCCTCAGGGCGAGCGGACACACAAGCACACGTGGCTGTCAGTGGCTCCTCCTTATATCCCTAACGCAGTTGTCCCTGCCCCTGTCCTGGATTGGTCCAGGTCAAAGGTTTACAATCTCTCCCTATTGAATAAAGGCTTAGAGGATGGGTTAAGACACACAGTTTGGCGGGCAATTTTCCCGGCAAGGGAGCTGTACAAGAATCCGTCAGACGAAACAGGAACCATTAAACAATACAATCTAAGATGGCGACATAAAGAACTTTAAGCAATCTAAGAGGGCGACATATACCTTGATAGAAAAGACTGTTTTCCTTACAATTCCCCCCTCTTTCATTTTAAATTATTTTCTTCAAATTTCATTAACGATAATTTACTTTGTTCCTCTGAGGTATCTAAAAGGAGTAAGTTATTGGGATAGGGTGGAGGTGACTGCCTGGTGAGGGCGGTCTCTATTAATCGTTGTACTGGCTCTCGGACACATGGAATCATAGAGCACCCTATTAAGGTTAGGGCCCGAAAACTATGCCAGGGTTATTCAAAACCAAGGTCATCAGTCCCTTCCATTTTTCCAAACCATTGTTCCATGAGGTTAGGGAAGGGATGATCTATACCTGGGTTTTCAGCTAATTCATTTGCCAAAGGAATCTCTTTAATGCCTTAGTGATGGTCCCATCAAGGGTGGTATTGTTTGGAATGAGGATGCAACATTGAGTCCTAATCATCACACAGACTCTGCCCTTTTCTACTAATACCATGTCTAATGAGATCTATTTTCCCAAGCCATTTTCCTAGTTGGACCCAGTTGTTCTTCTAGTCCCTTAATAGCGTCCCGGGTATAATTGACAAACCTCTGTTGGTTATAGTAGATGTAGTTGATCCAATCAATGTTTTTATTAATTGTGGACCACCAGAATAATACTGATTCAAATCCAGCTATTTGATTCCTGGCTGTGAATTCATCTGGGACCCCCCCATAGGCACCCCAATTACATCAGTGTAAATGTGTGGGCCAAAAGAAGGGGGTGGGGAGGGCGTGCTCCCAAACTCCTTCTTTTTAGGTGTTGATGAGCTGGTGTAGCAAGAAAGGGGAGGCCAGAAAAGAAACAGACAGGCTGGTGTTCTGATATCAAATCAGGGGGAGAGGATGGCAAAGCAGAGAGATAAAACTTAAAGAATTGAAACATGAAGGTCACATAGCACTAGGGAAATGAAATAGCCAATGACATCACATGCAGCCAAATGTGGGTTGAGCTTTGCTTTTTGCTTCTGTAACCTGCTTACAAGGGTATAATAAGGTGAGACCCCTTTGTTCTTGGGGCTCAGTCTTTGGACATGAGTCTGCTGGGTCTGTGCCCACACAATAAACGTTGCTTCCTGCTAATTTGCCTCAGGGACTCTTATGTCAGCTCGTAATTTCCTATAACACCCGTACCAGAGGTTGTGGATCCGAATGCTAGGGTGAAAGGGATTGCCAATTGTACCAAAGTGCAGGTACCCATCCAGTTGTTTGGAAGAGTCTCAAGTAAGGGTCCTCCACAATACCATCAAAGATTGGCTTTTGCCACCAAGAGTGTGATTTGATTCGTGAGCTCGTCAAAGGACCAGCTTTCATTGCATCCCGTTAGATTTCCAATGGGTACCAATCCAACTCCCTGTCATTTAAGACATGAAGTGTAATTAGTACCTGGAGGAGGTGGTCTGATGGTCCTCAGGGACTAACCTGCAGGATCCTTTACCTCTGGGAGCAGTAGTGACAAGGTCTGGCAGGACTACTTGCACCAAGCCTTAGCGTCCTGAAACAGAGCTATCATGCAGTTTATGCCATTTGGATGGAGGACCATCCGAGGGGGAACAGGACAGCCTGAGGCTCTGGTCTTCCCACTGTGTATGTGTAGCAATCACTTTTATTTCATGCTCAAACAGAATATTTTATCCATTCTACCCAAGCATTGGTGTCCCCATACCTTGTTTCAATGACTATAGCCTGTCTTTGGTCTGTAACTTCCCTTAGTTTGATCTTGTATGAATGTGGAGGCAGCATCAAAGCAAAGATAGAATTGGGGGCCTCCTCTAAGATCTTGAGAGCTAGGTGGAGTTTGAAGTCAACTAAAGGATCTGCCCTGAGACATCTGCCCCCAACCCATACTTCCTGATGAGGGTGGGGGTACTGGGTCAAGGTTTGGGGATTATTAATGACTAGATAAAGAGGGTTACATTGGTTGACCTGAAAGGGGGAATTCAGGCCTTTGGATTTGAATCTGATCTTGTAATTTTAAGTGTCCCGCATTAAAAGCTGTGGAAGTCCAGCCCTGATATTGGGTGCTCAAACCTACATCAAGCCAATGTGAACAGGGCCTGTGGAGCTGGGGTATGGACACATATAGATTCCAGCACTAGATAGCTGTCTCTGGTTATGTAAATCTCTGCAAGGGAGAACCAAACATGCATCAAACTTAACAGTTAAGGGGAAGATACTTTGGATCACATTGATGATAAACACACAATTTCCCAAATGGAGGAGAAAGAATATTCCCATTGTAGTCTTTTTAAGGTTACTTTTGTGCTGCCTGGATGCAGGAGCATGGCCTATTGTTCTTTTTGGTCTGGTGGGGGTATCTTCTTTACTTGTGTATGGTGAGTGCACCCCTTTTCTGCAGTCCAGAGGGTTGTTTCTGTAGTCAGCAGGACCAGCAAGGGTCCTTCCCAAGCTGGCTCGAGATTATTTCCCTTCCAAGTCTTGATTAGCACATAAGCACCAGGCTGATGAGGGTGTATAGGGAAGTCAAGTCAGGGAGGGAAGGTGGGGACTGGGGAATTCTGTGCCAACAAACCCTTTTTCCTAAGACAGAGCAAGGCTGAGGACAACCCAAGCATATTGTTTTAAAGAAAATAGTCTTTGGTTTCAAAAGTAGGTACATCAGTAACAGCTAAGATAGGGAAGTCTATAAAGCATTTCATAAGGGGAGAGGCCAATGTCCTTACAAGGGTCTGTCCTGATCCTTCGGAGTGCTATGGGAAGACATTTAGTCTAGGGTAATTTGGTTTCTAGGATCAACTTAGTGAGTTGATTTTTAAGAGTCTGATTATTCTTTCCACCCTCGCTGAGGAAGGTGGATGCCAGAGAGTATAGTTTTCCTATTTGACTTCTAAAGTCTTCCTAAGTCCCTTTAGAACACTGGTGGGCAAATGACTCCCATTGTCTGAATATTCTCTACAATGCCAAACCTTGGGATAATGTGTTCTAATAATGCTTTAATTACATTATTTGCAGTGGCTCCCAGGAGAGGGATAGCCTCAACCCAATGAGAAAGGTGATCTAAAATTACCAGAAGGTATCTGAGGCGCCCTACCTTAGGCATTTTAGTATAATCAATTTGAATGCTTTGACGTGGCCTCAATCCAGGATTCCTTCCCACAGATGGTTTTTGTCGTAGGGCTTTTTTGTTTGTCTTTTTGCAAACCAGACATCCTTCCAATACCTGTTTGGCTAGGGTGTAAGTTCCGATACATCCGTAGACCCGCAGGATGGTGTCACACATGGCCTATGGCCCCCAATGGCTTCCCTGATGGAGGTTAGCAAGAAGTTCTCTCATTAAAGGTTTTGAGAGTATCTCCCTTCCATCTGGAAGAGTCCATTTCCCTTCCTCAATTCTGGTTGCCCCGACTTTCCTTAATTGCTCCTCCTCTGTTGGGGTAAACATAGAGGTAAATAGTAGGGTCTAGAAGTTGGGGAACAAGTCAGAAAATCAGGGCCTCAGAAATAAGTGCAACCTCTGTAGCCTGCATGGCCAAGCTACTGAACCTGACTGGGAGCAGCAGGGAATGAGAAACAAAGACACACAGACATAAAGACACAAAGCTGAGATTGGGAGGACTGCTTGTTCCTGGTAGGATATGTGAGTGCCAACCTGAGCCAGCATGTTTACTTTATAGGTCAGCACAAGGAAGTGAATCAAGTGAAAATCAAGCTTACATACATCAGCAATTCTTTTGATCTAGGGATAAAAGGAATGGGGTCTGGTGGGCTGTTTTCCTCAGGCTTATTGAAGCTTAACTATAAAACATCTGGTCTGGAAATCGTCAGAACACACAGGACACCTTATCTACAGCTATTGATTAATCTGGCATCAGGGAGTCTCTAAACAATCTGGAAATTTATCTAGTTTTGCATCAGGGAGCTGGTATGTATACACAGCAAGTTATTTTCTTCAAATGAGATGCGGGAACAAAGGTCAAGACACCAAGTGCTGGGAAGAATGAGAGTAAGAGAGCTTTGCAAACTCCTACTTGGAGAGGCTTTGCAATCTCCAATACTTCCCAGTCCAGGGTCCAGGCCTAGTCTCCAACATCGCCCCCTTCTTTATTTCTTAAATGCTACCAATGCATTTTTATGTCTAATCCGAGGAGTCCTTTTTTGATCTTTCGAGCTCTGACTGAAAGTAAGCAAAAACAACAGATCATTAATAATATGATGCCAATGAAATACCAGAAGGAATTTTTTAGAATATTTAAAGGGTTAAATCCTTGTAATTCTTCTAAGATGGTTTTTGCTATATGTGCAGGAGCGATCACCTGATCATGTGCTTGCTGCATGGCTAAAATTTGCTGTCTTAAAGCTTGTAAGTTAAGGGAATCATTATTGTTTTCCCAGGCTCCCATGACGTGTGTTTTAACGAGTTTCCATGGGAAGTCTGTTGCATTGTAGGGTGCTGTAGTAACACAAATATGTTGGAAGTCTGCAAGACACAAGAAGTCTTGTCAAAATTTTAGCATTTGAACTTCATCTCCCATAGCCAACAAAGCAGTTTCTAGAGAATTTAAGCAGATATCAATTTTTTCATCTATAGCAACTTGTTGGAAGGCATAACTGACATTTTGTGTTACGGTATTAATGTAATGAGCATTTTGAATGCTTTGGGAGAGGGCTACTGCAGCAGTAGTCATGGTGGCAATGGAGTGATAGCTGCTATAATGCCTGCTATCATGAGTCCTACAAATCTCTTTTTCTTTACTAATAATGTTTTTATTTCTTTGACAACCTGTAGTCCCCTATCATGATGCCATGGTCCCATGAAATTTGAAGGTACCAGGATATAGGAGCTGTGTTTTACTGTAAGTAGGGTGCCGTTGTTGTAGTTGTCCACACATGAAGTTATATTGCAATTAGAACAGGAGATACCAAAAATAGTTTTATTTTTAGGGATGTTAATTGATCCCACCAGTAAAGCCAAAGGATGTTGAACACAAGTTTGTAAACCTTTAATAACAGAGTTGCCTGAGTGACTAGTTAGATCAATAGTAGCAGTAGTGGCTTCTAATTTCCATATTATTTGAGTGAATGGCCCCTCCTTCAGGTCCCACAAGAGGGGTGGTCCAATAACCTGTAATATTAGTTTCAGAAGTGCCATTATAAGACCAATACACAAGCTTGTAGCTTGTAACATTAATAGCCATTGGAGAAGCAAACATACATTGTTCCCATGAGGCTCCTTTATCAGAGTGCCAGGGATTGCGTTTGTCATGACAGCAGGGAATGTGAGGCCAAATGTGTAGCATTATATGGCTCAGTGGCATTAAAGCCAAAAAATTCTAGTTTTTTATCAAGAAACTGAGTACCATTCCATAACAGAGCACTTTTCCAAATAGGCGTGAGAGGGAGACAAAAAGGCAAATTCCCCAGACATATGGGTAAAGCAACAGCTTTTCCTGTAAAACTATAATTAGTGAAAATAGGAACCCATGGCTATTAACTTAATTATCATATTATGGTAAGTGGTGATGATCCTAGCAGGGGAGTGAGGTAAATGTAGCCACTCTAGCACTCCCTGAGTCTGCCAAAGAACTCCCATGCACAAACTTGCAGTAGGTAAAATAAGTTGTATTGGTTGAAAATAGTCAACACGAGTTCTCTGAGTGTTATGAATAGCTTGTTCAACCTTAGCCAAGGCCATACGACCGACCTGCTGGTGTGAGATATCTAGGAGATGATGGTTGAGAGTCTCCCAGTAAAATTTGAAAGAGAGGAGACAGCTCACAGGTAATAAGTTTTAAGGCAGGACGCAGCCAATTTATATCTCCCAGCAACTTTTGAAAATTAACATTTTAGAGTTTTTAGATTATCCTAATGGGTTTCTATTTTGGGGGGGCAGATGGTACATCCCTCAATAATCTGGCTCAAATATTAAAAAGGGAGATTGTTGTTGTACCTTTTCCAGGGATCCCATTTTGGCAATTGTTCAAGCACATGAGCCAATAAATTTTGAAGGGCATCTAAATCAGGGTGGCTAAGTAAGATATCATCCATGTAATGAACAATATAAGCCTGATTAAATTTTTGTCTTAAAGGCTCCAAAGCTGAAGCAACAAACCCTTGACACATGGTAGGGCTGTTTGTCATGCCCTGGGGAAAAGCCTTCTAATCATAACATTTACAAGGAGCCTGATGATTAGGCATGGGTATAGAAAAGGCAAATTTTCTCTATCTTCCTCATGTAATGGAAGGTAAAAAAGCAATCTTTTAAATCAATAATATAAAGATAATTTTGTAGGTCCCATACATGTCGATGGGTGAAGGGATCCTGGGCTGTAAAGATTTAATTGGTTGGATAACTTTATTGATAGCCCTTAAATCCTCTACCATTTGCCTGATTTTTTTCTTAATAATTAAAATGGGCTATGAGATGTTTCTATATGTTCTGCTTGTAATTGCTCCTGTATTAAGGCCTGTACTTCTGCTAATTTCTCCCCTATTAGGGGCCACTGATCTACCCATACTGGCTCATTAGTGAGCCAAGTGATTTTAGTGGCTGTGCGAAGTGAGGGGGAGTCATTGATCAGGGCCCCTTCTAAAAATGTGCAGGAGGTGTTTTGTATCTCAATCCCATATGAGGAGGATGGGGTATGGAAGAGATAGACTCCCTCATTCCCTGTTGACTCTTTCCTAGGCCCTTCTGAGTGTCAAAACCCTGTTGTAATATCATATGTGAAACCTTAGCGATGAAGCTGTATAAAATAACTCCCATTCTTGTAAAACATCTCTTCCCCATAAACTTACTGGCAAGTCTTTTAGCATATACAGTAGAAAAGTACCAGAATGTCCTTCCTCATAATGCCAGCACTCTGTAAAGGAGCTGAGGCAGAGCCGACACCTTTTAAATCAGTTGTAGCATGGACACTCAGACGGCCAATGCTGCTCTGCAATTACAGAAACATCTGCTCCTGTATCTAACAATTCCATAAACCACTTGCATTTAAAAATAGAGACATCTCAGGGTGGTCAGTAGTGACCCGTTGTACCCAGCAAGCGTGGTCGGAATGTCCAACCCTTTGTCTCCCCGCGGGGTTGTCGTAAGCACTTTTCCTATCTTTGCATTGGGAAAGATTACTGACTGTGCGATCTTATCCATGGGAGAAATGGCTACAAAAGTCTGAGGAGCTTGAACAAGAATTTTAAGTTCTCCTGTTTAGTTTTGGTCAACAACTCCAAGATGTATTTGAGGACCCTTTAAGGTCATACTACTTCTGCCAGGATTAACCCTATCGTCCCTTTTGGCAATGGCCCATAGACTCCTGTGGGGATGGTCTGAGCTCCCATTTGGGGGGAGGGATTGAGATCCAGTCCAGCGCTTCCAGGGGTGGTGACCCAACTGTTTTTTTCTGGAACATGATAAGTGCCCCTACTGTTTGATGGGGCCAGGGCGGCTCCATGAAGAGTTTTCCTGCTGCCTCTGTAATGGTCTCCCTTCCACATCGGCTTGTGAGTGACATTCATTAGCCCAATGACAGCCACGTTTGCAACAAGGCATATTCCTGGGGGCTTTTGTCCTTGACTAAAAGGTCCTATAGGTGGTGCATTTGCTTTGGTGCCTTTTTGGCATTCTTTAGCAAAATGACCTGAGTTTTTACAATTATAACAGACACCCCCTTTTGAAAGGCTTAGAGTTTCCTTTAAGGCAGCTGCAAGGGCCATTCTCTGAGCATAGCCTCTGCCTATATCTGAACAAAGTCGAATCCTGTCTTGTAAAGAAGACTTTTTTCTGTAAGGTTGGAGAGTTTATTTATAATGTTTATTAGCATTTTCAAAGGCTAACTGTTTTACAAGGAGAGTGCCCAGTTCAGGGTCCCCAACATTCTACCCATGTGTTGTAATAGGTGAGCCACAAAGCCTTGAAAAGGCTCTTCGGGACCTGGAAAAATTTTAGTAATTTCTTGGGTCTTATACCCTTTAGTAGGTAGTTCCCTCCATGCTCAGGTGGCAGCAATAGCCAATTGTTCTTATGTTAGTGGAGGATAATTTAATTGATTTTCTAAGCCCCTATAGTCTCCTTGGCCTAAGAGCGTATCTGCAGTAATTGGTATGCCACGAGCAGCAGTGCGTGTGGCTTGCTCTTTGCATAACTCGGTACAGCTAGTTTTCCATAGTAAATAATCTCCCGGACTAAGACAAGCTTTAGCAATAGCCATCCAACCATCAGGAGGCAGGGCAGAGCCACTAGTGAGGCTGCTCAGCGGTTGTTGCGTAAATGGAGCTGTAGCCCCATGCACAGTACAAGCTTGTTTGAATCAATGCCTCCGAGGTTGCCCTGGAGCTGGGTCAGTTTGGTCGAAAACTGGGCATATATTGAAACCAGAAGTGCCCTCCCCTAACTTTCGTGCCAAAGCTACGGTATGTTGTAATGGACTCTTTTTAAAGGATATAGTTGAAAACGATTTTTGGAAATGTCGAGGCAGAGCATCCTGATAATCTTCCTCACCATTAACATCTTCTGATTTGGATTTGCTCTCAGAATCCCTATCAGCGGGTTAGGCTTAAAGAAAGGCTGCGGAGGATCCACAGTAGGAGCCATTAGGGGTTGAAGGCAGTGGCGGCTGAAATTGGTTAAAATTGAAATGACTGTCACCTCCTGAGTTTTTAGAACCTCCCGGTTCCGACTCAAGAGGACTTAATTTTTAGTTTATGAATGGGAGCTGGATCTAAACAGTTCCGAATTTGACTCCACATGCCAAAGGTAAAAATTGACTTGCAGTCAGGTCCTTCCGCCATGTAGCAGCTTTTTAGTTTTTCCCCTATCTTCTGCCAGGTTTCTAAATTGACTGCCCCTTCTTCAGGGAACCAGGAGCAGGTATCCTGAACAAAATCCAGAAACTGTACAAACTGGAGAGACTTACCTTTACCACCTTTAGTTTTAAGCAGAGCTTTAAGCATCTGTACATAGAGATCTCTTTCCTTAGATCCAGTTTGTCCCATATTTATTACTCCCGACTATATTTAGTATTGCGCTCTCCCCTTACCTTGTTTTCCTTGTGGATGGTCCTTCGGAGAGAGTTCCCTCGCCTTATCCGACGAGTCCCCCTGTAGTCAGGTCCCTGTTCAGGCACCACTTGCCAGGGCCTGCATGGCTAAGCTGCTGAACCTGACTGGGAGCGATGGGGAATGAGAAACAAAGACACACAGACATAAAGACACACAGCTGGGATCGGGAGGACGGCATGTTCCTGGTAGGATACGTGAGTGCCCGACCTAAGCCAGGGTCAGCTTAGGTTTATTTTATAGGTCAGCACAAGGGAGTGAATCAAGTGAAAATCAAGCTTACATATGTTAGCAATTCTTTTGATCTAAGGTAAAAGGAATGGGATCTGGTGGGCTCTTTTCCTCAGGCTTATTGAAGCTTAACTACAAAACATCTGGTCTGGAAATCGTCAGAGCACACAGGACAATTTATCTATAGTTATTGATTAATCTGGCATCAGGGAATCTCAGAACAGTCTGGTAATGTATCTAGTTTGGCATCGGGGAGCTAGTATAGGGACACAGCAAGTTGTTTTCTTCAAAGGAAATGCAGGAACGTAGGTGAAAACACCAGGTGCTGGGAAGAATGTGAGAGCTGTGCAATCTCTTCTTAGGAGAGCTTTGCAAACTTCTCAGTCCAGGGTCTGTGCCTAGTCCCCAACAGCAACCTGTTCTGCCATTTCATCTGCCATAAAGTTTCCTTGAGCCTCAAAATCCCTTCCCCTTTGATGTCCTGGGACATGGCCCACAGCTATTTTCTCAGGGAGCTTTAGATTCTCTAGGATCTGTTGGATCAGCTCCTCATGGACCAGGTCCTGACCTCTACTATTTATTAAGCCTCTCTCCATCCAGATTTTTCTAAAGGGATGGACACCCTAAATGCATGTTTAGAGTGAGTGTAGATAGTCTCTTCTTTATCTTTGAAGTGCTTTAGAGCTTGATTTAAAGCAAATAACTTGCATGTTGGCCAGCTGGCCTGATTCTACTATAGTTAGGGCTTCTCCATCTATGACAGAAAACCCATTATGCTTTTTACCTTCAGTCACTCTAGAAAAACCATATACAAAGAGATGATGTCCAGTTTGAAATGGGGTGTCTCTGAGGTCTGGCCTAACTTTTGTCTGGTATTCAATGATATCTAGACATTTGTGGTTTGGTATTTCTCCCTCTTGTTTTCCTGACAAGAAGGCAGCTGGATTTAGGGCCTTGTCTGTGGTCAAGGTTAAGTCATCTTTCTCAAATAAGATAGCCTCCTACCATATATAACTAGGTATGATTAAAAAATAAATAAATAAACAACAACAACAAAAAAGATAGCCTCATACTTTAGGATCCTAGAGTCAGTTATCCACCTCCCTGCCTTTTGGTTCAGGATTGCCTGAACTTGGGGGAGCGAGTACTAATGATTGCTTCCCCCAAAGGTAATTTTTTTGCTCTCTTCAGCCGGAAGGCTGTAGCTGCCACTGATTGGGTGCACTCTGGCCATTAAGATCCTTTAGACAGGATCTAAAAAGTTGGACAAAAAGGCTATAGGGTCTCAGTTTTTTGGGTCAGTACTCCCAAAGCAATCCCTTTATTCACATTTACAAAAAGGTGGAAGGGTTCTTCCAGGGAGGGTAAGGCCAGTACAGGGGCTGTAGTGAGGGCCCGTTTTAGCTCACTGACTTTTATCTCCTCAGGGATCCAAAGAAGTGGGTCAGGTCCTTCTTGGGTTAATTTGAGATACAGGTTTGTTTTTTTTTTTAATTTCTTTTATTCATATGTGTATACAATGTTTGGGTCATTTCTCCCCCCTTTCCGCTGCCCCCTCCCGTCCCCCCCTTCCTTTCCCCTCCACCGCCTCACTACCAGGCAGAAACTATTTTGCCCTTATCTCTAATTTTGTTGAAGAGAGAGTATAAGCAATAATAGGAAGGAACAAGGGTTTTTGCTAGTTGAGATAAAGATAGCTATACAGGGAGTTGGCTCGCATTGCTTTCCTATACATGTGTGTTACATTCTAAATTAATTCTTCTTGAGCTAACCTTTTCTCTAGTTCCTGGTTGATACAGGGGTTTAATTTTAAGGTCATATGAATCTACCCATAACCAGCAGTATCCCATTAAGCAGGGAATTTTTGTAGTTCTTGTTTAGTCCCTGGAAGAGGGAGACTAGTGATCCTTTCCAGACCAATCCTCCTTCAGCCTTTACTAATCAGATGTCCTAGAAACTTCACTTCTGTCTCCTCTAATTTTAACTTTTCTTTGAAATTTGAAAATTTCCTAGGAAATTTATGCAACTAATGGTTGTATTAATAACTCCCCGATTCTTCCCTGATAGAAGTAAATCATCCACATATTAGAGAAGGCACATATGGGGACCTAATTTGAATTTCTCTAAAACTTGTTCTAAAATTTGGCTAAAAAGATGGGGGAGTCAGTGAATCTGAGGAAACAGTCCATCTATATTGCTGTTTGTGCCCTGAGTAAGGGTCTTCCCATTCAAAGACAAATATGTCCCAGCTAGTTGTATCCAATGGACAGGCCCAAAATGCATCCTTTAGGTCTATCACACTAGACCATTAGTGATCATATGGGATTTTGCTGAGGAGGATATAAAGGTTTGGGATCACTGGGGGTTTAGTCTGGACTATTTGGTTGATGGCTCTGAGGTCTTGAACTAGTTGGTAGGATCCATCTATCTTCTTGGCCAGGAGGATTGGGGTATTGAAAGCAACATGCAAGGCTCAAGGAGCCCATCTTGTATTAGCCTCTCTATTACTAGTTTTAGACCTATGCTCCCTTGCAGGGGGTTGGGGTGTTGTTTCCTCCTAACAATTTACTGTTATTTTTTAGTTGAATTTGGATGGGAGAAACATGGAGGCCACCCCTATTCCCTTCCCTAGCCCAGACCACTGGCTTAATCTGTTTCTTGGCCCATGGGGTAAGCAAATTTAGGAATTTCTTCGCTTATCCCTTTTTACAGGTAAGCCAGTTCCTAATCTGGTTATTAGGTCTCTCCCAAATAGATTGGTACCTGCTTCAGGGACTAGGAGAAATTGTATCTTAGTAGTTCTGTTTTGGAAATAAACATGTTTCTTGTAATATTTGAGCCGAAAAGCTTTTCCTTTTTACTTCAGACTAATAATCTTTCAGGGGAACAGATTAAGCCCCTGGGCAGAAGGCAGAGGGAAGACTTAGAGGCTCCTGAGTCAATTAGGAAGGTGGTAATTTCATGTGGCCCCACCTCTAAAATTATCTAGGGCTCTGGGTGGGATTCTTCAATGTAAAAGAGCTCCTGACCCCCCCCTATTCTTCTACAAAAGTCATCAAGAGGATAGCCTCCCTATGCTGCTTTTCCCATTCTGGATATTCTGTTTTAAAGTGTCTAAGTTTGCCACATTTAAAACATTTATTTTCCCCTCTTTTTGGTTCTATTCTGTGATTTTCTAGTTTCTTAAATCCCAAGGCAGGAGGGCCGGTCAGATGAGGTCCAGCAGGGTGCTGATTCTGCCTTCCCTTATTAAACCTGCTCAATAGTGGATAGTATAATCTTTGTTTTTTGTTCTGTTTTTCTTCATCTCTTCTTACATATATCTTTTGTGCCACCCTTAATAAATCCTTTATTGATCTATCTTTCCAATTCTTTAGTTTTTGTAACTTCTTGGCTATATCTGGCCAGCTATTTGTAACAAAGTGAAGTTTTAGCATTTCCTGTCCCAAAGGATCTTCTAAATCTAGTCCAAAATATTTCCTCATCTGAACCTTTAGCCTGTTTAGGAATTCAGCCTGCCCCTCCTCCTTCCCTTGCTGGACAAAGCTATTTTGAGACCTTGGTACTGATTCCAGATTCCTCTATTTAATCTCTCAAGTCCCTCATGTTTTCTCTATGTCCTGCAGTGTTGTTATCCCATTAGAATACTGATTGGGAAATTTAACATTAGCTGCTGGGACATTTTGTCCCTTAGAGTGTTCATGTTCCCAGATAGCCATTGCTGCTCTACGGATCATGGCTCTTTCCTCCCCCTAGAAGAGAATTCCCAAAATGGATATCAACTCAGCCCAGGTTTCTATCTGTGGTCCCAGAAACTGATGGACCAGTTCTGAGACACCCAAAGGGGGATCCTCAAAAAGGGACGGCAAGTCCTTTTTAAAATTTTGGACCTCAGAGCTGGTAAAAGGAACATTCACAAATCCAATTCCACCCCCTCCAAAGGGAACCTTCCTGAGAGGAAAGAGAGAGTGGGGTTTTTCTTCTGCAAGCTGAGGAAAGGATAGATTCTCCATGTCCTGACTGCCTTGGTCTATCTCCCTTTGGAAAGGGAGGAATTTCGGGCAGGGAGTGGAGGAGTGGCAGGGACCCAAGGGCTGGTAGGGGAATGCGGGGGGGGGGGGGGGGGGGGGGGGGCGAGTGAGCCTTGGGGGAGTGGCGCAGGAACGGGTTCTGGGCACCTGAGCTGGTGGAGCAGCACTGTTATAAGGGGAAGGGAGTACAGTAAATTCCAGTTGGAGGGAATTTTCGTTTTCTCCTCCTTTTTTTTTTTTTTTTTCTCCATTAACTTAAGTGGAAACAGGACCACGGACCCTGCCTTCAATAAAGGGCATAATCTACCTCCTTTTGGGTGACTGGGCCGTTGTCATTTACATGTTCAATTAATAGTTGGCAGATCCAGTCCTCATCAGAACCAAATTTTGGCCAGAAGACCAAAGGATTTAAGATCGGTCCTTGGGTCCAGATAAAACAACAGTTCTCGACCATTTGTTGTTTCTTTTTCCCGTCAGTACGGGGGTTATCATTCCAGTATTTTAACATTTTTCCTAAGGGGCTCCTGGAGAGAATTTTGTCCTGAACTTTCGTTTGTTCGTCTCCCTCTTTGCTGCCTTTATTTCCCATTTTCCTTTTTTGGTCTGCTGTGCTCTTATCAGAGCTCAATCCCCCCTCTACCCTTGCCTTGGAGGTTTCTTGCACTGATTTCCTTTTGCTTTGTCCGTCTTGGCAGCGTCCCTGGAGGGAGCTTGAGGCGCCTCTTGGCATTTGGCGAGTCAGTATAAACCCCTGACTCGAATTAGATTCAAGAATCTAATTCCGCCTTAAGCCGTGACACGTCTCATTCACACATCACACAGCCTCCAATACCCCGACCACCAAGACATTACTTGGCCCCCCCAACCACCCCCTATGATGTTTCTTGTCTTGATTTGTGCACAAACTTACGTTGTTGCCGCGGTCCCTGTCTTCAGAGCTCTTTTACCCGCGTTGTTAAGAAATTCTGGAGTCTCGGCTCATTCTCAGGTCCGGAAACTTGTCGCCGCCAACCAAACCTCCCGGCTGCTGCAACTGGGCAGCAGGACGCATCTACCCGGGGAAGGGCCGAGGTCCCCATCCCGGATGGAATGCAGTATCCCGGAAGAGCTCCCAAATTGTTGGATTTAAAGACCCTCCGGTGCCGAAAATAGACATACGAGAGACAGAGGAAATCTTGACAGGGCATTTCTTTTGATGAAAAGGGTGCACACACGTATTCCCTCAGGGCGAGCGGACACACAAGCACACGTGGCTGTCAGTGGCTCCGCCTTATATCCCTAACGCAGTTGTCCCTGCCCCTGTCCTGGATTGGTCCAGGTCAAAGGTTTACGATCTCTCCCGATTGGCTAAAGGTTTAGGGGCTGGGTTAAGGCACACAGTTTGGCGGGCAATTTTCCTGGCAAGGGAGCTGTACAAGAATCCATCAGATCGCTTCTCGGCCTTTTGGCTAAGATCGAGTGTAGTATCTGTTCCTACCATTTTAATATCTGATACGTCCTTTATCCGAGGACAATATATTAAATGGATTTTTGGGACTAGGAGATGGAATAGGAGCTTGCTCCTTCCACTCCACGCATCGACCTGGTATTGCAGTACCTCCGGGAACGGTGCATCGAAAAAAAAAAAAAAAAGAATCCAGCAGAAGAAACAGGAACTTTTAAACATTACAAGCTATCTAAGATGGCGACATAAGAAACTTTAAGCAATCTAAGAGGGCGACATATACTATGACAGAAAAGATTTATTTTCCTTACAATGAGAGTTCAATAGAATAAGAAGATTCATACAGGTCCGGTTTGCATGGAAGTCTCACAGATCACGCTTTTGATCACAGGTGGGACCGTCACTTCTTTGTGGAGCAAATTCCGATTGCGATCATGCTGTGGCGCGAATCAACGCATAGCTAGAGACACTCGCGTGGTTCCCAAGTCGCGTCCGGTCTCGCCCATCCATTTTGGCTGAAGAACGGCGTTTGAAGTAATCAATTACTCTCCCTTACAGCAATTGTAAGTTATTATGAATTTGGTTTCAGGCCCGAAAGCTAGAGCAGCATATTTTGTGTTTTTCATTGGTTTCTCGGGCATAAGAATTGATACGCAGACGCTTGCGTACATTATTTGCATATTTACTGGTGCAAAGAAGAGGAAGAAGACGTGGTTAGTTTGGAGAAGTAAGTTATAGAAAGGGTGTTTGTCAGCGGGTTTCCGTAGTGTAGTGGTTATCACGTTCGCCTCACACGCGAAAGGTCCCCGGTTCGAAACCGGGCGGAAACAACGTGCTTCTTTTGAAGCGCTTTGATTTTCCTACCGAACTAACTAAACAGCTAAAATAATTTCCACCCTTCCACCGATATGTTCCCCCTCATTTTTCCGTCTTGCCAGCTCAAGGCCGCAGTGCCAAGGCGGCGCTGCTCTGGGTGTGTCCAGATGCGCGCGACCTCGGGGGACGACTAAGACGTTTGGCAAGGGGAGTCCGGTTCTCCCCGGCTCGCCGCTCGCTCACGGGGCGCTGCAGCCTGCAGCCCCGGAAGCGCATCCTCGCCTTCCCTCGCCTTCCTGTTCTCCACGGCTTCGGGCCCCACTGGCCTTCGCTGCCGTGTCCGCGCCAACCGCGTCCAGGCTGAGCACCTGCGTGGCACAGGCCGCGCTGGGACCCCGCGCCCCTCGCAGGCCAAGAGACCCAGGTAGGTGCCTCGCGGGCCTTGTGCTCCTCCAGAAAATTGGAAGTGGGGATGGGGCAGGGTCTCCCCCTTCCATCTACCTGGGATCCTTCTGTCCCGGACACCCAGCCTCGTCTTCCTCTCTGCAAAATCTCAGCATCTCTTGAGTTCCGAGTGCGAATCCATGGGGAAGGGGATCGGTCACAGAGGTCGCAGGCTCGAGGGGTGAGAAGTCCCCTTGGCCTTTATAAGGCAGACAAAAGGAGAGGAAGGAATTTGAAGGGATCGAGACTGCAGAGCTTGTGGCATGGAAGAAATGGCTGGTGAATCTGGCTGGCCTGGCCTGTTTCTCCCTCCTTTGGCAGCTTACAGGGCACAACCCCGAGAAGTCCCCACCCAGCAGACACCGGTGGAAGGGCTGCTTCTTCCTTCACTTTGACTTTCTGCTCTCCCTGTCAAAAAGAACAAACACCCCAAAAACTAGATCCCCAAGTTAAGAAACAGAACAAGTGTGCATTCTGTGGCTTAACTTGCAACTTGAGAGTCACTGGCAGCAACCGTTCAAAATTGAGGACTTGTGTCGTGGTGTTTGGCCTCAGACCTCAGCCATGGCTGGCTTCCATGTTAATTGGATCGATCAGACGCTTTTGTGGGAAAGACGCTTTGTGTCACCTGACTGCATCTGGTATTGATTTTGGGGATTTCCTTCTTAGATTGTGTTATTACTTTTTCTAAAGGTTAGCCAAAGCTAACATCACACATCACATTGCTGAGGTCCTCCTCAGGTGACTGATAAGACTGTGACATTTATGACCATAAGAAAAGAAAGGGCAATTCTGTCTACTGAGCGGTTTCTTCCATATTATTTTATTTTAAACAGGCTTCTTAGATAGGCCTTACCTTTGCCCACTCTATTACTTCTTCATTTTCATACCTTCTCTGAAAAACTCATGATTTTATCTTTATATTGGTTGTCTTACCAAGATCATATCCTGGCCTCAAGATGATAAGCTTGGGAATATGCTTATTAGCAATTTGTTTGACGCACTTTCATTTAAAATTCCCTTGTGACACCCAGAAATACAAGCAAGTTAATGCCGTGCTCTGAAAGGAAGCAGAGGTCCCAGTGGGCAGGAGTACTTCAGCTGGGAAATTAAATGTGGCTTGAGCCAGCCATTGCAGATGGGTGACAGTTTGTTTGGAAGCCTCTGGCTCACTCCTCTTCAAACTAGATACATTTTTGCAAGCTGCAGCAGCAGCCCCGCCCTTTTAGACACCTGCCCTTCTCAGCCTTTCTTTCCTACTCCTGCCTTTCCCATTCTCTCTCGGGTAACTCCAAATGGAATTTTATCCATTGTTTATAATACTTTGGAAGATGGAGAACAATAAGCCCTAGAAAGTGACTAACTCCATGTGACCACCTGCTCTTGGAGCACACTGCATCTTACATATGAATCGTTTATTTTAATTTTATTATATCCTTTATTCTCTGTTTCCTAAGTATGGTGTTAGTAACCTTTCAGGTCTTCCCTGTAATCCCAAAGTACTGTCTTAAGGAAGAGACAGGAAGGAACAGGGTTTCTTTCTCATTTTTGGAATGGGATTTAGGCTGGAACACAAAGTGTAACTGCCTCCTAGAAACTCAGTTCATAACTATCAAGGGAGCAAAAATGTGCCTTGCATGTGTTCCCTGGGGATAGGGTGAGAGTGAGTGTTGGATAAGGTGAAATTTAGTTCATGGACACCTGAGACAGATTTCTGTGAAAGAAAAAAGACATGGGAAGAAACAAAAAAAGGACTTTAAGAACTGGGCAAGACCTCAAAATAAATCTATTCCAAGATATGTCCTGATCACTAGGCATTTATAGTATTCCTTATATTAGTCTGCTAGGACTGCCATAGCAAAACAGCACAAAGTGTATGGCTTAAATAATAGAAATTTATTTTCTTACAGTTCTGCAGGTTAGAAGTCCTAATTAAGGTGTCGATAGGTTTGGTTTCTTCTCAGATTTCTCATGTTTTATAGATGGCCACCTTCTCACTATGTCCTCACAAAACCATCCCTCTATCTATGTGTCTGTGTCCTCATCTCTCCTCTTCTAAGAACCAGTCATGTTAGATGAGGCACACACATATGATTCATTTTACTACTTTCATTGCCTCTTTAAAGACATTATGTCCAAATATAGCAAATCAGTCTGAGATACTTGGGGTAAAGACTTTAATGAATTAGGGTGGGGGTACAATTCAGCCTACAACACCTCTGCATTTCAGAGGACAGAAATCAGTATCATACATAACATTACAGATACAGTTCCCTGAAATGATTCTCACAGAAGATTTTAGTGCACTCTCGTTTCTTCATCTTATTTGCTTATTTTTGTTGAAGAAAAATACTATTAATTTTACTGTTCCTCATCTCTCCTCTTCTAAGAACCAAGTCATGTTAGATGAGGCACAACATATATTCATTTTCTACTTCATTTGCCTCTTTAAAGACATTATGTCCAAATATAGCAAATCAGTCTGAGATACTTGGGGTAAAGACTTTAATGAATTAGGGTGGGGGTACAATTCAGCCTACAACACCTCTGCATTTCAGAGGACAGAAATCAGTATCATACATAACATTACAGATACAGTTCCCTGAAATGATTCTCACAGAAGATTTTAGTGCACTCTCGTTTCTTCATCTTATTTGCTTATTTTTGTTGAAGAAAAATACTATTAATTTTACTGTTTTTTGTTTTCGTTTTGCAAAAGCTATTTTTGTCAGTTAATTTAAACTTTGCAGGTCTTTTTCTAATGGAAAACTGCAAGTCTTCATAGCTATACAATGGATCCAAAGATGGATAGATGTTCCCTTTACCTGCTGCTGAGGGGAGAGATACCTTTCCATATGTAGCTCAGTGATAGAGACTTGCCTAGCATGTACAAGGCCTTGGGTTCCATCTCTAGTGCAACAAGAATAACAACAACAAAACAAAACAAAAAGGAAAGAAAGAAAGAAAAGAAATATGGTTAAATGAGGAGTTAATGTGGGTTGCACAAGAAAAGTCCAGTTCTGTGCAATGTGAAAATAAGTGATTTAAAATTTTCATTAGCATATTCTTTTCTCTGTTAATACAACTTTGCCCTTTGGAGAGTTATTTTAATAAAAGAGGGCTCTGGGCATGGCTCGAATGGCAGCACTCCTGCCTACCATGAGCAAAATCTTGAGTTCAAACTCACCAAAACAAAACAAAAAACCCAAAAAGAAAAAAAAAAAAGAGGAATTGTTTCATTCTTAAAAGTTTAATAATTGCTGCCACATCTTGGGAAAATGACTTCAGTAGCTTGTCTTGATTTCTTGCCCTTGCTGGAGTGATAACAATGAAAGTAATTTCTTTTTGCTGTACTGGGACTTGAATTCAGCCCTTTTTTTGTGATGGGTTTTTTTGAGATAGGGTCTCACAAACTATTTGCCTAGGCTGGTTTCAATCCGAGATCCTCCTGATCTCTGATTCCTGAGTAGCTAGGATTACAGGCATGAGCCACTGGTGCCCAGCTGGACCCAAAAGATTTTCATGCTGTAAAATATATATATTTTTTATACCCATTCCTTTATGGTCACACCAGAATTTACCTGTACGATCTCTAGTATCCTTTTCAATTATTTTCTTTATAAATTCACTTTCTTAGCTAGGTGCTAGTGGCTCATACCTGTAATCTTAGCTACTTGGGAGACTGAGATGGGGAAGATCATGGTTTGAGACCAGCCCAGGCAAAAAAATTTGCAGGACCCATCCTCCAACGGTAACCAGAGTAAAAATTGACTGAATATGTGGCTCAAGTGGTAGAGCCCCTGCTTTGCAAGTGTGAAGCCCTGAATTCAAACCCCAGTCCCACAAAAAAAGTATTCTTTACTTATTATGTCCACATTTGCATTCTTAAAAAATCTGTTGGTGAATTAGGGAGAGAAGGCATAAATTCATGCACTATCTACTGAACAATGTTTTCAGAAGAGAGCAGGACAGGTTTACCTGGCTCAGTAGAATTGCAGTGCATCTCAGTGGTAGTGAGGAAGTCAGTGACACCATGCCTATTGATCCTCTGTAATTTAGTCTCCCTGAAAAGAATGCAAGAGGAGAGCAAACTGGGAGAAGTATCCAGCCAGTTTCATAGTAGCTTTTCAATGAAGAGCTGTCAGTGAGCACCATTTCTTTTCTCAGTTTCAGTTCCTGTTCCCACAGGACTTTTCAGGTTATCAAGGCAAATAATTGCTGATTTAAAGCATATTTCCACTTTGGTTCTTCACTCTTCCGTTGTAATACCACTCATCTTTGCATTATTTCTGCAAAATCTCCAGAAATTTTAGACAATTGGGTGATCACTTTGTTAGCTTCATGAACTACAAATCAAGACTAAGTTTGCTTGTATGGACTAGAGGTGTGGTCAAGTTGATAGAGTCCCTCCATTGTAAGTGTAAAGTCCTGAGTTTGAATTCCAGTATTGGAAAAAAAAAAGTTTGCTTATATATATCATGGTTGTCCAGTGCATTTAGGTGGTAAGGTCCCCCCAAAAAAGTCTGGAGCAATTTCAATGGAGATAATGATCTTTTACTTTATAAAATCATAGAGTAGGGGCAGCTCACAGAGTTACAGAGTTTCACAGGGAATGCTTTCAATAGTAGGGCAGAAGGAGTGACTAGCTAATCTTGGCCAAAAGCTTTAAAAATTTCACATGATACCCTACCCATCCCATGAGCCGCAGGCTCAGGTCCTAATTACCCAAACTCCAAATAAATCACTTCCTATTCCTACTTGTGTGTTTCTGAATCTATGCCTTGGACTATTCACCGTTTTTAGAACTTCTATTTATTCTTGAGTAAACATAAAGTTTTTTTATGTACTATATGGTGACTATTCCAGTGATTGCCTCCCCACCTCTTTGCAAATAAGAGAACACCAACTCACAACATCCTGGACTAATTTCCATGCTCTCTCTTTCCAACTGTGACCCTTTCCCAACTCTAAAAATTGATCACTGTTCCTAATTTTATATTTGTCCTTAGCTTCATTTTGGTTTTACTAATTGCTTATAGCCTACCCTTGTCATATTTTTACACATATAAATGGATTATATTGTACCTATTCTTCTGCAACTTGCTGTTTTTGCTCATCATTATGTTTGTATTTGTCCATGTTTTTGCATGTAGCTGTAATATATTTCTGCTGCTGAATGGCATTCCCTTGTGTAGATATTAGCAAAATGTATTTATTCATTCTCTTGAAGGACATTTGAGTGGTTTCCAATTTTTTTTTAAAGTACAGTATTGGACAGGGAGCCATTGGCTCACACCTGTAATCATAGCTACTCAAGAGGCAGAGATCAGGATAGCAGTTTAAAGCCAGTCCAGGCAAATAGTTCAGGAGAATTTATCTTGCTTTACATAATGCCTCATTGTTTTCCAAAGCAAATACACTAATTTGTACACACACAGTCCCCAGCAGTATATATATGTTCTGATTGCTCCACATCTGCTGAGCCCCCTGATATTGTCATACATTAATTTTTATCAATTTGATGAGTATGAAATGTTATATGCTGTGGTTTCAATGTGCATTTATCATGTTACATGTTTTTGTGGGCTTAGTCACCACTCATGCTTCTTCTAAGAAGTAGCTGTTATCACTTTTCCCCATAGATTTTAAGTTTCCATTTTGTTCCTTTCTCATGGATCTGTAAGACTTCTTTATATATTGGGATTCTATTTTTTTGTCAGTTATATGTATTACAAACATCTTTGCTCAGCTGGTAATTATTGCATTACTTTCTATATACCATCTTTTTGATATATGTAAGTTACTAACTTCAGTTCAATTTGATTTTTAATGCTGAATTTGCCCTTCCTTCCCCTTATGATTTACATTTTTTGTGTCTTATTAAAGAACTCTTTCCAGGAGCTGTGTGAGAAAGACTGAAGCATCTGGTTGACTGGCAAGTCACTGACCAAGCACTGCTATCACCATGCCCAAAAGAAAGGCAAAGGGAGATGCTAAAGGTGATAAAGCCAAGGTGAAGGATGAGCCACAGAGAAGATCAGCACGGTTGTCTGCTAAGCCTGCCCCAACAAAACCAGAGCCCAGGCCTAAAAAGACCCCTACAAAGAAGGGAGAGAAGCTGCCCAAAGGGAGAAAGGGCAAAGCAGATGCTGGCAAGGATGTGAACAACCCTGCAAAGAGCCGAGGTGCCTCCACAGTCCAATCACAGAAAGCGGAAGGTCCTGGGGATGCCAAGTGAAGTGTACATATTTGATAGCTGTGTACTCTTAGTGACTCTGCTATTTGAAATATGTTGTTTTTTTTTTTAAATCAAGTTTTATAAAGATGTAGAGTTTCGATTCTTTTTTTTTTTTAAAGTTGTTAGTTTTTATGTTGTTAGTATACAGGACACTTTGTTGTTGTCTTTTGTGGAAAGGGAAAATGCCACTAACAGAGTCTCAGAAGCTGAATTGAAAAGCTTTTGAATTGCTGGTTTTTGAAGATTGTTCTTGGTTCCCAGGAAAGACTCTGACGTCACATGTTAGCCACTTTGGCACAGAAGCCTTACGTGTGGGGAAGCAAAACTTCATGTCTTCCCTGATACCATCAGCATAGATGTGACTGTGTTAAGCCAATAGTCTTGATGTGGCCTTGGCATTCCTGAAATCAAACGTGTCAGGTAATGATACTCAGGCTTTCTAGTGGTGACATCAAGTTGGTGTCGCTCAAAAGAGCTAAGATGCCTGCTTTTAGTTTGTGAATCATCCTGTTGAGAATCCTGCAGTTTTTAGTTTATTTCTTCCATATCATCACTGGCCTTTGAGAAGCTTTTGTGTGCCTCATGTGACATGTCCATCCCTTCTGTAAACTTTTCCTGTTTGAAGCAACCATAAAAGACTTTGTTCCCCTTTACAGTGACTTTTTGGAAAGGGGAGTTTGGAAGTTGTAAAATGTTGTAAGTTGTTGCCCATGTCCTACTGGAAGTAACTGTTCTTGAAAATTATCTTACAAAGCTAGTGAAAAGTTGACTTGTGGGGAGGGGCATCATTTCCTACCCAAAGTCTAAAGATGTTCTTTACTATCTTGTAAAAGATATAGTTTTGCTTTTCACACTTGTCTTTTAGCTGCCCTGAATTGATTTTTGTGAAAATTATGAGGTAGACATTCACCATAAGAATTTTCCCTTGTGTATAAGCAGTGGCCACAGAACCATTTACTGAAGAGTTCATCGTTCTTCTCACTGATCTGTAACACTGACTCTTTTGTAAGTCCACTTTGTAATTGTGGTTGTTAATGACTTTTTCTATCTGACTCATTGCTCAATTTGTCTAGCCTTGTGGCACTACTATACAATCCTAATTATTACAATTGCTCCAAAGGTCTCAATAAGGGCTGGGTTGTGGCTCAAGTGGTAGACTGCCTACCCTACAGGTATGGAGCCCTGAGTTCAAACCCCAGTAGTGCCAGTAAATAAATAAATAATAAAGGTCTTAATGAAAAACAAAGATGTCTCTACATTTTATCATGATGTTAACCAATCACATCTCCAGTGTCACTACCAAATTTTTCTTCCTTAGGAGTGTCTTGGCAATTTTAGACATTTGCTCATCCATGCAATTTATAGAATTATACTGGCAAGTTCTAAATCAAATAAGGCATGTTGGAATCTTTATTATTTGTTTTGAAATTATAGGTTAATTTTGTGAGCATGTTAGCTTTATAAGGTTGGGTCTTCCAGTCCATGAACATGGTATAGCTCTGCATTTATTTAGGCCTTTGAAATGTCTTTTAATAAAGTTTTATAATTTTCTCCATAAATGTCTTTTGTTAGTATTTCCTAGAGAACTTATAATATTTAGTGTTATTATAACTTGTATGTTTTTGATGACATTCTTAAATGCTTATTGTTTGCCAAACATTTTGCATGCATACAAATGATTATGATTTCATGTACAACTTTATTTCTGTAGCCCTAGGAGTGGGATATTACTATCCTCATTTAACTTTAGTGAAACACAGGCAAACAGATTAATAAGCACCTTGCCCTGAAATCACAGTTGGCAGAATCCAGAATAAAACCCAGGTCTGTAACTCCAGGGCCTAGAAGTCTCATTTTTTAAAAGCTTAAAGATCACTAGCATAATCCTTAACTGTAACCCATCTTCCCTTCCCCCTCTAAAAAAAAAATGGTTTTATGAATAAATAAGAAACTTTCAAGATACCATTAGAATACCATCAAATGCAAGTAATAACAGTATATTCTACAAGCTAAACCATTGTAATTTCCAGTTCAAAAGGACAGTTATGAAATGACGGGTAAAATACTTACCGAATTAAGGATTTGAATTTATCTCCAGTGACACAAACTTTGAAGTGCTGTTGTTTCTGCACAAGGATGTTAATTTTGTAGAGAATTCCTAAAGTGGGAGTCAGATGGGAAGAGTGACTTCCAATGTTCTATAGCACAGGTAACTATGGTTGACAAAAAAACAATTATTTTAAAATTGTTAGTAGAGAGGACTTTGAATGTTTCCTAACACAAAGAAACGGCAAATGTCTGAGGTGACAGAAACACCAGTTACCCTGATCTGATCATTACACCTTGTATACATGTACTAAAATGTACCACTGCCCCATAAATATGTACAGTTATGTGTCAAATAAAAATGAAAATACATATTCCTGAGTCTAGGGAAGATTAAATTAGTAGTCAAATCTGCCTTTAAACCTCTTCTATCACTTTATAGGTCAATTTCACTGTTACAGGCCTATCTGTAAGTTTACAAATTAATATCCCGGTTTATAACTACTTTGAGAATTTGAGTGTCTGATATGAATCACCCTTAGTGACCCAGAGTGTTTAATAATCAAAAATAAAAAATTCTAAGTAATCAATGACCCTTCCATCTAAGGCATCATTCCTGGAGGAGTTGAAGACGGAGGGATTTTCAGGTATCCGACCTATCCCACTAGATTCGTTCCTCAACTGTGGTTATTGATCCTTGCAAAATTAATCACTCCCTCTCTCATAACCCTCCAATGGCTTCCACCCTTGGTTAAAAAAAAAAAGCATCTACAAACGCCCTTCCTGAGGTGCCGGAGGACGCGCCGGATGAGCACCAAGATGCCCGCCCACTTGGACAGACCACTCCCACCCCCTCCAGCACAGTGGAGGTCTGAGCCTCGGGTCTTGATGGCGGGGAAGGCTGGGACCGCGACTTTCCTCCTGGAAGGTCCTCAGCCCCCACACGATCTGACGTCCTCTCCCCCAAGTCCTCTTAGTGGAGTTCCATGGGAGTGCGAATATCACCAATTTTCCTAGGAGGTGGTTGATACTTGCGGGGAGTTTTCCTAGGAGGTGGTTGATATTTGCGGGGTTTCTTAAACTTTTTAAGTGACATGGAGCCTTCTGGCTTCAGAATGAAGCCCTCTTCAAAATCATATTTTTAAAAGCATTAAAAAAAAAACCCAAAAACCTTGAGTGCAAAGAAACCAATCACACTACAAAACAGTTATCAAATGACAATTATATAGTATGTGTGCTTTGTTAATGTATTAAATATTAGACATGCCTTGTCTTATGACTAAAGTATTAGATATTTGTAACAACTATATGGTGATAGAATAATGTGTGGGTTTTCTTGGTGACAAAGCTTCTCTTCTGTGGTTTGTGTCTTACATTGGTATGTGAAGGAAATGTTAAATTTCAGCTACTGTTTGAGATTTTACCAATTCCACCAGTCCCCAAGTTAAAACCTGCAAAAGTGTAACTAGACCACAAGCTCAACTCCAAAGGGTTCCACATGGCAGGTCCAGCCCAATACAGCCTAAAACCAAGAAGAGTAGTGGTGAGCAGCAGAGAAGAGATTTAATACAACACCCACTGTGGGTGGTCGGGAAGGCAAAGAACACTTCAGCCCATCTTTGGGGTACAGACAGGAACTTTAGGTTTAAATAGAGAATTGGGGCAGGTGAAAAGTGTACATAATTACCAAAGTCAGGTCACAGGTGAGGGAGGTCTGGTGAGCAGAGGTAGTCAGAGGCGTGGTTGATTTGCTCATTATTTCAGGATTGATCAGGCAGAGAGCATTGTCATTTTTGTCTGGTGGGTGGTCTGTTCCTGCAGTGGCTGTGTCCCTCCACGGCTTTGCTGTTCCTTAATTGGGGGGGGGCAGTTTCCTTCGAATAGATATGATTAGTTCTGTCACTCCTGGAACAAAAGGTGGTTACAGCAGAGACACTCAGAGTAAAGAAGACATATGCAAAATGGCAGCAGGAATGCCAGGCTTCTGCTTTTAATTAATTCATGAGCACTCTACCACTTGAGTCACTCTACCAGCATCTAAGTATATGCTATGTTTACTGGTTTTTTGTTTTTGCTTTTGTGTGTGCTGTGGATTGAACTCAGGGACTAAGCTACATCCCTAGACTCCAAAAGTGCTTCCTTAACATAGTACCTGGCACACTGAAAGCTTCCTTAAGTGTAGGTATTAATAATTTTATTATTGCTTTTCTGCATCTGCTCTTTTAAGTGACCACGGTGACTAGAGTTAATCTCATGAATACTTGAGAGTATATTGGAGAATATTGGAGACTAGAGTATTGGAACGTTATTCTCCCAGGCACAACTCTGGCTACTCAGGCTTGTTTAAGGAACAATAACTTCAAGACAGATGAAGAGAGAAACACCCAAGTATCACCTCTGGACAGGTACTCTACTGCTTGAGCCACACCTCCAGCCACAAATAGCACCTCGAAGAGTGCTCTTTGCTTCATTTAATAATCATTGCTCTCCAAGCAAGTGTCAGGAGCTGTGTTGGGCAAAGGGATGGGGGCACAAAGATAAATCAGTTCAGTCTTTAGACACTTAGACTGGAGTGCTAAAATCATGCTGTCCACACACTCCAGCTGTGATACAAAGGCTAATTAATCTAGTGGATGTGAGGTGTGGCAAAATAAGGAAAAGAGAGACTTTAGAAAAGAGGACACTCATTTAAAGATTACTTCTTTGATGTATTCAAACATTTAAAGGGCTTTGATTATGTGCCAGTGCTTCAAGGTAGGCCCGAGGGCTCTGTCCTCACCAGAGAGAGGAGGCGTTAGCAACTAGTGAAGGAGAAAAGCTCTCCCATTTGAGGAAACAGTAGAAAAAATCCCAACAGTTAAAACATCAGGGTTTGACTCCATGATTTCTAAACCTTCCACCCATGCAAGAAAAGAGTTAAAGGGAATTTACACAAAGGATTGTGTGAAGAACTAGAAAGTGCATAGGTCTGGAAGCCACAGGTTAAGTTGAGGTTAGATGAAAGAAGCAAAGGGGGTGTGGGAAGTTTTATGATCAGAGGCAAAGCCAGTTCAACAAGGGTTTTATTTCCCTTACAAGAGATTTCTGATTTTATCCAGTTTGGTTTGAAAGTTTTAGACCTGGGGCAAAAACCTGATGAGACTTGAATTTCATAAAAACCTTTGCCTTCAGTCTTTCAATGGTTGAGTTATAAGTGGAGGTTTCCTGATGGTAAAATATTCTGCTTTATTCAGCTTAGAAATCAGGGCTATCTAAGAAGAGACAAAGCAACTATTTGGCTAAAATAAAATAAAATAGTATGTTTAAGACAATGTCTATAGTCCACACAAGAGATGGCAAGAGACTTTGAGTGGAAAGATGGGTGTAGAAAAGGAAAGAAGATTTTCACAGAATTCCCTGTATCCCTCTCTCTTGAACTTATTTGAAAGGTAGATTGGTGATTGATTGCATGTGCAGGCATTGGGAGGCTGTGGCAGGAGTCTGGGAAGGCCCACAAAACCTTTGGAATTTTGGTGGATGGCTGTATTACTAACCAAGATAAAGAACACATAGGGAAGAGGACAGACGGGAGATTAATGAGTATTAAGAACTGTGAAAGGTATGAGATTTTTACCTAATTTGTAAGCTGACAAGTTAGCTGCCACAGTTTCATGAAGGTTGGTAGAGTTCATGAGACTCTACAAAGGACTGTTTATTATTAAATGTGACAGCAACAGCTAAATAATCAGCATTTTTGCTCTGGTTCTCCAGCTCCAATTCCCAGAAGGCAACACCTGCACATTCAGTGAGTTTTGTTGCAGGAGAAGAACTCCAAATTGGGCATCCCAATTTTTATGTAATAAGTAAGCATGCTTGCCCATTGCTCTGGAAACATCTCTGTCTTCCAAGGCTGTTTGCTATGTAAGGATCCTTGAAAAGATAATCCAGTAAAAAGAGAAGTCAGTTCCTCAATAGCAAGGCATAGGAAAATACGGGACCCACAGAGAATCATCACAGAGAATCATCTCCCAGTGATGAATTCCATTTTCAGTAGATGAGTTCTAGGTGTTTGAAGATATCCAAGCTAATGGAGACAAATGCCCATTCAGGGTTAGCGATCAGGAGAATAGTGAAGAATGGAAAAAAAACAGTCTGTTAATTTAATCCATTTTCACTTAATGACTGTCTAATGTGCAAAGTGTTTGCCTCCTGGAATTGGATCTGATAAACACGATATATGTGCAGATGCTATGCCACATGTACCATGCATAGATATGTATTATAATGTACAGAATTCTGTCTAGTCAACAACTAACAGAATGCTCACCTTCTCCAGGCTTCCGCTATAGATATCTCAACTATTCTATGTTTGTATCCAAAGAAAACATTTTCAAAAGTAAATGATCTGTTGCTGGTGCTTGTAAGGGAGTCTGAACACACTTTGGACACCTGAATGTAAAATGAGGGACAGAAATTGCTGTTCAGTTTAAAAGTGCTTGGTTTCAGCTGTTTTTT